CTTATTGCATACGTCTAACGCAGTTCAACTTGGTCTATTGTTTTGATGCTGGGCTTTCGTAAGAAGCGTATGCGGTTAGAGAGCGTCTGAACTCGATGCTTTGCACATAGCTAACCCTATTCATCCCCAACGTTTCATTGGGGTGCCCCGACCAGCTGAAAGGAGTAGGGACCACGAACACGGTAGCATTTCCAGCCGACTTTGCAGGCCGGCCCGTTGAAGCTAGCTAATGGACATGGACCATATTTGCCTCCCCTGCAAATGCATCGTGCTAGGCAAACTATTTTCCCGTTAGGTTATTTCACGTTGCAGCATTACATTGAGACGTCAAGTGATATGGAGTGTAAGGGTATACTGACCTAGGTATGTTACCTAGGTAGCTATTCACACCTACGAACAGCAGCGATTCGCGATTAGCGCGCACCTTCGTTTTCTCCTTCCCGCCTGGGTTAGTTACTCGCTACCCTTTCGTTGGGACGATACGTACTATGTACGCTCTCGGCGTGACAAAAAAAAAAAATCTCCTACGGGCCTATCCAAGACGTCGCAAATATCTGACATGCATGCGAGTTACCAGGATGTGGTTACTCACCGCTCCGCTACGTAATGGTTTCCAGGTGAGAGAAACGGGTTGTACGGCTTGGTTCCGAGGCCATCCGAAACATTTATTCCCCGGTTTGCTCACGGGCCGACCATCTGTCGCATTCGGGCTCGAGCTGCTGCTGGAGTGGGCGTTGGGACCCTTACAGAGATATCGGGTAGGTTATAAACAATAAACAATGAATTAACAACCAACACACCAACATTTAGCGTCAAGTTCAACTAGCTTCCGGGGATAGCGTCTTCGGGGGCGGCCCGATAGGTGTTTACCTGTTAGAGCTAAGGCCTTTTTTTGCTTACATTTATATTAAAGTGGATTATAATTTCTGAACTTCGGGATAGTAACAGTAACAGTAACAGCACCACGAATCACCACTACTACTATGACAAATACAAATACCGAACAGCTTATGATATGCCAATTGTTAATATTGGCCCTACGGAGGGGTTATGCCAAGCCAGTCCAGTTACATACGTGCTCTTCATTTCGAGGTTTATGCTACATATAGCAGACCAGTGCTGCAGTGATAGATACTAGATATCCGTAAGAATGCTTCGGAGGTATAATCTCAAAACGGCTAGCTGAAATCCATCGGCCAATTCATAGAATTAAAAATTACACTATTGAGTGAATAATGCAACCTGCACTCAAAGTTGTCAAAGGCCATGTGCCTATAGGTTGCTTAGTGGCTTGATGTCTATTACCCCTATCGGCAAAGATTGACAGCTATTGTACTGTACAGCAAGTCGGCCGACGACTCTGTCTCCCCGAAATATCAGCACATGGGGCAGGGAACTCGATAGTATCGGGCTACTTGGGAATTGGCTGGAAAGCCCGGATATTGCGGTAGATACAACGCCTAGTTTGGGCCAGTCTATGGTCGAGAGTAGTGAGACGTCTTATGTAGTCAGCTATTAAGGTATCCGGTAAGGTTCTCGCCCAGCGATTATGTCCCCCCTAGCCCCTTTCATCGCGCTGATCCTGGGTACCACCGCGTGTTGTATGTAGGACACTTCCACCACCCTACCCATCATGCAGCTGTTTCGCGAATCTTGTATAATTCTTACGTCAGATCTAATAGCACTAAAACGCTTGGTCATGCAATCAAAACTGGGAGATAAATGTATGCGCGTATTCCGTACTTCATAATAGGCCAATCGCTGCAAATGTGTTTAGTTGCATTTATTATACGCCTCCTAATACTCTACACAAGCGCAGAGCGTCTAAGCCAGGTCAAAGCGAAGGAAGTACTTTAGAAATCATTATGGATTTGTCTGTTAATGTATTTATTGCCCACCACCTGAATAGTCGAATCTAAATTCAACTTGCTGTCGTATTAGGGCGGAAAAACCCGCTTGGACCAAACCAGAGACCTTTTACATAGTAGTTCCAGTATACGTATGGCTATGAGCTAGTTAGTGAGAGTATTTCTGAATTGGGGACTCCTGGGCGACTTACGAAGAAATCCTTCTTCAAATGGTAGAATAACCGACTGGGCTGCTCCTGGCCACCTAATATATTTGCAAATGTCTCCTTGGGTACACCGCCATACTTGAACTCGCAGAGCATAAGCTCATTGTGACCGGTCAATAAGGGGCAGCTGGCGTAGCCGTCATACGACGCCTTGGGCTCCTTGCCTTTCATAACCGCCAAAAGGTTGTCTATTAGAACTGGCGTCTGCGATGTGATAGCAGCTGCGGTTTTGCTGTTTGGAAGACTCGACGCATCGCCAAGAGAGAAAACGTTCTTGTACTTGGTATGTTGCGTAGTGGACTTATCCACATCAACCCAACCCGCGGCATCCGCTATGGCGAGAAGCAAAATTAGCCATCTTTGACATAACACCCATCGTAATGAGAGTTTCTTGTAGGATACTTACCTAGTTGAGATTTAGCAACCCAGTCCCAGGGCTTTTGGGGAGGTACCACATCTATAAACGTTTGAGTTAGCGATTGTTATATTTAACATGTCCAGTGAGAAAAGGGGGGTGGTGGACCAGGGGGATTGGTGAAAGCTTACGTAGAAAGCCGAACTCTCTCTCAACAAGTGCTCCATTAGCACCGTCTGCTAAGTTCTTAAATGTTGCCACCTTGTTCTTTGGGTCTACTTTAACTAGGTTATGTTGGAAAAGGCCTTCGACATTACGCTGCTTGCGCAGATCTTCAAGCGCTTGCGAATACTTCGGGACGGCAAACATGACTAAACGGCGTTAATATAGGTCGGTAGATTTGATACGAAACGCTGGTTTTCTTACCAGGGGCACCAGTTGCGAAGGTGATGTTAATATTGTCTCGTACGCCATCCCGTTTCCACTGTGAATGAGCCATCCACATAATCTTCTGGGGAGCGCCAGCACATTTAATAACACCAGCAGGCTGGGTGAAGATAGCTGGTCCTTTCTTGAAAGCTTGTATGTTCTTCCATACCTGCTCCACCGTCTTCTCCGAGTAGATGGATGATACCTGGCTGGCGGGATCTTGTAGAGCTTGCTCGAGACCCGACACGCCAGCAAAGTTTGTCTCTAGGCCTGGGGCTACTATTAGATAGTCATATGACACGTCAACTCCTTCGGATGTTTTGATTGCGTTGTTTGCGGGATCAAACGTGGACACACGCAGAGGATAGTGTTTCACGCCCTCTGGAATTATTTCAGACATGGGCCGGTGCATGTCTGGAAGGGTCCTCACTCCGGAACCAACAAGCGTCCATCCTGGCTATTTCGATGTTAGTAACTCAAGGTATAATAGGAATAGGAATGAAGAAGACTGCTTACTTGGTAGTGGTGGGTTTGTGCAGGGTCTAAGATGGCGATATCTTTATTCTCAAAATCCGTACTACGTTGCAACTGGGCGGCGACAGTAACTCCAGCTGTACCTCCGCCAACGATAACTACACGATGGTGGGCCTTGGATGGTATCGAGGTTGCGTAGGTTCTCGCTAACCTCCTGACCGGGACCCGAGCAAGTGGGCGAAGTAGACTGACTCCAGCCATTTTTGATTATTATGTCAGGATAGAGCTTTTGATTGGGCAAGGGGAAACTGAGATATCTACCACTCATCCGAGACTGCACGCTGATTATCAGCAAGTTGTATTTATTAGTTTGGTCAATAAGAAGAAATGGTGGTCACGTGAAAGCACGCAATACTGGTCTCAGTCTTATTTATTGCCTATTTGCTTTAGTGCGACCAATCAGGTTTGCCGTCTACACAAATATAGAACCACAATCGTACGGATCCGCCAACTTCATCTGGGAATTAGATACGATATCCTTTTAAGTTTACAAGTTAGCCGAATATCGTTATCGTTAGGTTTAGATAAATTAAACAAATAAATTTAAAGACTACCAGAATTGTATGTATGTTGAGGACGAGTGTAAAGGTCAAATGCGGGAAGAAATATAAAGGAACACCGTGGGCCGAATAATTCTTCTTGTTTTAAAGTTGGTTGAAACTTATATATTACCGGCACGGCTCTCGGGTAAGGTTACGGTAAGAGGTGCTTTGCTGTTTATAAATCATTGGCTTAACGCAGTTACAAACATGTCTCCTATATACGTACTGTAATTTATAGTCTCAATTGACAACTGGCTGTGAAGCAAACTTCTCTACATAACGTCTTATTGGTGCAAGCATAGAAAATGCCTTTCCTTATAGAGTAAATATCAATGCTCAGTTAAACTTTATCAACTAATAGATCTACCCTAGCTTTTTGAGAAACAGTCTTATGTCACTCATAACATGTCAAAGTGGCGTGTCTATTTGGTTTAAACATTTATTCAGAAACTTTAAGATAATTCAATTGCTAAAAGATACGGCAGATTAGCCGTAGTATATTGACTTAGTCCATTAACTGTATGAGCGAAGAGGGAGGTTCTTCTTATATTAGCTATGCATTCGACTCCGGGAAGCCATGTACTATACGTGGAAGTAATCCCTTGGCTACCTTAGGTACTCATTTCAACATAAATGAGATGCTAAGTATACGCACTCTTTTGGATGAATCATTATGCAGTGGTACGGCACGGAAGTCCTTGTTGACTTATCTCGCATCGTTTCCGCCGTGATATTGTTCCCTCGGATCCATCGATCTGGCCGGTTGTTTAATATCAGGCACCGACATTCAGTTCGAGTAGAAGAGGTATATATACATTCTACTTCTACTAAGAGCATCTAACGGATAATATGAAGAAAGAAACTTTATTTTATTTTATTGTCACCGGCATCCTTACATACTACCGTGTTGCCCGCGTATTATACACTTCACTAGTAGAAATCACGAGTCGGCTATATAATCTATTAAAAGGCCATAGTACGACATCGCATCGCATTTCGAAAGAGATATTATTATCTACAAAATCAACTCGTTTGCCCAGCTCTCGAAAATTTATGACATTCAATCATGTTCGGTTTCTGGCCCCTTTTCGGTGCGAGCCGGTCCTTACCGGACGAGAATAGCCGAGAGGACGACACGGACTGGGACGTCCCGGAACCGGAAACGCGCCGCGTTGTCTTCGGCACTCATTCGACTGGGGTATGCAGCTACCCCTCATCCGGCGGCTTTCTCGTTTCGCCGCACTCCAGCGGCGTCGACCTCCTATTCCTACAGCTGTCTCGATTTGACCCCGCCGAGCGCTCCGAAGATCCCACAGCTGAGGATCAGCAATGCGCCCGCATGAGAATGCTTGGCGCGTGGCGGTTTACGAGTACCGACGAGTACAAGACTACGAAGATATTCAACCCGGAAAACCTGTGGGGGAAGACAACGGTGGTTGCGGCGTGGCCTGAGAGCGGGGTAGGCGTATGGGTGGTCGTGGCGCGCAAAAACGACGTATCATATAGGTACGTACCTGGTGCCCGTCTGGAATGCGCTTAGTATGGAGGAGAGGTGTGATGTGGTGAAGAAGTTGGGTGGGAGATTTTATCAGGACCCGGCGAGGTGCCCGAATTTAAAGCTTTAAGAAACGTCGAGCCTAGTGCAGTGTTAAAGGGGGAGGTACTGTATAAGGTATACTATTTGAACGGTACGGTTAGAAATAGTAACTCTCGGCTGATGTGATTTAGTTAATATTCAGGGGAAATCACTTTCTATGCTAGTATATTAGGTACCTAACCTGCCTCCTAAATATTTCTACGTTACTTGTTTTACGAATTCTCGCAAAGCTGTTTTATACGTCCTATACATGCATATGCATAGGTCGGTATGTAGGCCTCTTCGAGAGTTATCAGCTTCGCTTATATCCCCAAGCCCATTGGCCCACGTCATTAGTGCCCGACGCTCAGCCTCATTCCCACCTCAACACTGCCGCCCTGATGGTAGACAATTTATAAGAATTGAGAGAGGTAGTTAGCATTAGCATCATGAAGAGTCAAAGTCAGGGGTTCCATCATAATGGCAACTCCAGCGGAGAAAACTAAAGTGTATCGACTTCGTAACTTACCTAGTCATGTGGATAGGCAGTCTGCTACCGAGCTTGTCTCGATATGTATCGGAGCCTCACCCCAAGATATCCGCATCTCCTCCCTAGCTTGTGCAGTCGATCCATGGGAACGACCGCCCACTAAGACAGCGACCTTGACATTCGAGAAAGGCGACCATATAACTCGCTTTAACTCTAATAATGGCGAATGGACATTTATGCATCCTGCGCTGGCAAACCCTCTCATTCTTGATAGCCATTTCCGTGGTCTCACCCCACTTAATGAAGTAGCCGCTGAGAACCATCAATACGAGTATGTTGTCATCTAAATAGTACCTTATGTGCAGCTAATCTGATCGTGTAGCTGTATCGCTATTTCTGGCCTCGCAAGCCACCCCTTTGGCTCATGGCAGCCCCATGGGAGAGACAAGTCCTTCATGTGGATCCGAGATGAATTACCTCAGTTTCTCCCAACAGTGCGGTTTATTCTGTACGGTTATGATACGACTCTTCGTCCAAGTACATCTTTCCAGAGGGTCTCTGACCTCGCGAACTCATTCATTGTTGTCTTACAAGCAGATGGATGGACCTCGCCTACAGCAAAACCGCTTTTATTTCTTGCACATAGCCTTGGTGGTGTTATTCTGAAGGAGTCATTGTTGATGCTTGCTGGAGCTGGACAGCAGCAAGCATCTATCGCTAACTTAGTTCAGGGGGCCATCTTTTTTGGCGTACCGAGTCAAGGTATGGCCATACATGATATATTCAGAATGCTGGGAGACCAACCGAATAAAGAGGCACTCGTTACCGAGATTTCAACCGAGTCAAACTATCTCTCCCAGCTTGAAAAGCAGTTTTCAGGAGTTTCCTTTGTGCGAACGTTGAAAATGTTTTGGGCGTATGAGACGAAAATGACGCCGACAGTTGCAGTATGTCGGGTAGATACCCAATTGATTCAAGTGTCAGGTTATGCTAACTTTTATATGTTAGTCTTCGAGGAACAGCTCTAGCAGATCAGGGCCAGAAACGGTGCTAGTAACTCGAGGCTCTGCCACGGGAGGACGTTGTTATGAAGATCCTTCACTGACAATTCAGATTGACGAAAACCATTCTGACATCGTGAAATTCACCCATGGTGACTATAGAGTCCGCATAATTGTGGATAGGCTGGCAAAAATATGTGGAATACGCCCAGTCTTCGATCAGACGGGCTTAGGTATTGCCCTGAGTAGTGTTTCGACCGACAGCAGAGGTATTCCTGATGATCGCACGCAGAGTATGCAGAACCAGCAATTGGTCGTAAATGGTGTTGAAAATCGGGCATGGATTCACGACCCTATTGTGTGGGACAATCAAGGTATGGATGCATTTATACATTGCAAGCTACGCTGTTGACACTTATGTTATAGTAATTTTAAGATCTCTACGCGCGCCGGAGCGTGATTTGCGTATGCAACAAATCGATCCTGCTGCTACTTACACTTTCGACTGGGTATATGACGATACTACTATTGGTATGTCCGAATGGCTGCGAAGGGGAGAAGGAATTTTTTGGATTAGCGGCAAACCAGGGTCTGGGAAGTCTACGATGATGAAGTTTATTCATAACGATCAGAGAACTACCGAACTTCTACACAAGTGGAATTCCAGAGCTCGGCAAATTATGCCTACCTTTTTTTTCCATCACCGTGGCAATCATATTCAAAGATCCTTTGAGGGACTTTTACGAAGCATCATCAGCCAGATTCTGGAAGCAGAAGAGGCGATTTTTGAGGTAATCCGATCGGCATTCGACGAGGAGTATCTCAAGCGAGTAAAGATGAATGGACTTGGAAGCCTGCAACTTGATATCCTTCAATTAACGAAACTATGCAATATCACTGAGAGTGCATTGCTAGCCCAGGATATCGAAAAGATTATACGAAGCTTAGACCTTCGTCCATCTCTACCTCGACCCGTTCACATTAATCTAGAAGCTGAGATTAATAAATTACTTATGAAATATAGTGAGCAGCTTAATACTCATAGAAGAACATCCGATAATCGTCGACTAGAGTCGGGTGTTGAAAACCACCAAATTATAGGTGAAGAGATACAAGAGCAATTGTCAAACGAGGTTGGAAATGGTATAAAAAATCTCGTGAAGCGACATGAATCACGTATAGATATCCAAAGCAAGATTCAGAACGAAGAATGGACCAAGTCAAGACTGGAAGATATCCTTCTTCGGATATGTTCCCAGACACTGTTCGACTTGGATCTCTTTTTCCTTCTAGACGCCTTGGATGAATATGACGGGCGTCCGGAATTTATTTCAGGATTCCTCAAAGACCTTATTCAGGACGCGAGTTTTCCGAGGACCAAGGTTAGAATTTTATTCTCGAGCCGGCACTGGGACGTGTTTCAAAAGGAGTTCGAAACTTCCTTGGGATTCAGAATCCACGAACACACCAAGGGCGATATTCGCAACTATTGCACCTCGTCTATATGCAATAATTTCCAGACACCTGGGTGTCTGCTTCTATTTGTTGAGGATATTGTAACTCGTTCTCGTGGTGTTTTCCTTTGGGTGAAACTCGTCCTATGCGATCTTTTCCGAATTATGAGAGAGCATAACCATACCAAAGATTCAGCCGAGAATGATTTACGTATAGCCCTCGATTCCATGCCGGATGAGCTCGAGGAATATTACACAGCTATTATTGAACGCATTCCACTGGCAGCTCGGTGGGACACCTATGTCGTCCTAGAATGCCTAGCCAGAAGAACTGGAAATGCTCTTACAGTCCACGAGCTTTACATGATTGCGGCATATTCCACAGCCAAGATATGCCCTGGTAATGACCAATGGCAGCAAATCCAAATATTTCAAGATGGTTCCCAGGCCGAACAGTTTGTTAGAAAAGTCTCTGGAGGGTTGGTGGATAAATTTCCAGAGCATATATCTGATTTCGCGACTGTTCAGCTTATGCACCAAACCGTCAAGGATTTCATTGAGACACCACAGTTTCGACATTTGGTACTTGGAAGCAATCGCACAAGTGTAACAGTAGAGAATGGCCATTCATTCCTAGCAAAATACTTCTTCCTACACTACGGCACTTTAGATTATAACACGAGCATAAGCATAAATACTTCTCGGATGTTTTCTTTCCACGCTCGTGAAGCCGAAAGAACGACGGGTGTAAGTCAATATACATTTTTTGCCTGTACCCCGGACGTTGTGCATTTTGCTGCGTTCGCCGGCCTCCAACTCTACTTTGAGGATGCGTACAAGGCGGAGAGCAGGGCTTTCGCAAACTCGACCAGACTTATCAGCAGCATTGTGGAAAGCATTAATATTGATCGAACATCCTACGATCATAGGAAACTAGTACAGTCTTTTCTGTCAAAAGGGACTTGGCCTTGGCCAGCTTTTCTGTGCGATGTGGATCGGAGATGTTCGCGATGGCCCACGCCGCAGGCCGCTCGGAGAGCTAGACGAATACCGCAGCGACATAGCCAGTGACTTAGTAAGCCAACTAAAAGACACCGAGATACTTATTGATTTGGACCGTGTTTCTAGTGCGGAAAATGTGAACTTATATGGGTTTAGTTCTGGCACGATTTTGCACATGAGCCCTCCTGATATTGCCGCCAAATTGTTGGAGCGAGGAGCAAACCCTAACGCCCAGGACGCTTTGGGTCGGTCACCATTGGATTATATCCTAAATAATGTGACAGTACATCCGCCAAGCCCCGGGTATCTCCACGAGTTATCATTGCTATTGATCAAATATGGTGGTTTATTACGGACAACGACAAGTACGGAGTGGAATATATACATCCATAATCTGGAAAAGAACGGGCTTGGTACACAGGTTTTTGAAGACTATGGTTTCCCTGCTTGGGACCATACAAAGCCAAAATACGTCCAACGTCAGAACTATGGCACAAGCCCCCGCCTATTAGACAGGGAACATGATACCGGGCCATCGCTTCGTCAAAGCTCCCCATCTCGAAGCCGTCGTGATTATAGACCTCCCCAAGCAAGGGTGCGGCAAGCGGCTACCGCACGAAAAAGACGTCGGCGGCAAGGTTAAGATAGAGCTATGAGAACTCTAAAATTAAATGTCTTGTTGGTCTAATGTATGATATTCGTCTTTCGGGGCATATTGAATGCTCCTTTCTTATTCTTTTCAAATCCAGCGTATGGGTTACCCAATCTAATGCTCCCCTCGGCGGGAGGAAATAGAGTCACGAATTATGTATAATCTACGATGAGCTTTATCTGTTTATTAGGATTGAGTGAAGAGGTACAAACTCATTTGAATGATAGTGAGCTGGCGTGGTGTAGACTAAGGGGCATCGGTAGATTCTTCTCGAGATTCACATATCTTAGAGAACTGGGGATTTCATTTACATTAATCAAGATACATCAAATGAGATACGATTCGGTTAATGACTTTCGTAACGAGCGCCAGCAGGAACTAACGGTATGGTGATATACATATAAAATATAGACTTCAACATAGGAGCTCCTAAGCCGAAATTATTTCTAAACTGACACTGGAGAGACCACCAAAAACGGTAAAGATTAGCTAAATGAATCAATTAGGACTACACCCTGATATCACAGATGCAGTGAATCTAATAATAAAGCTAAACGCCCAGTTACCAGTCGATGCCAACTTCGCCGCGTCTACCTAAGACAACAAACATCCTACCGTGTCTCTTCGCGACCTAAAACGCCCTGGCTGTACTACTCTTACATCATGAAGCTGCGACTGCGCACCCATAAACAATACGGAAATGCCAGGATGTAGTCTTTCTATAGTCTGCCAGAAAGGCGATTATGGAACAAAACTGCTTTAAGAAGCACGTGCCACTACCTGCAGATCGAGACCATAAACCGCAGCAATCTCACATCCTGCTATAGGGGACGATCGCAGCATCGATAATAGGAGGTCTACGGTGGGCCATGATTGCCTCAGGGCCCCACTTCGATTTCCAAGAAATCTCCCTATCCCGTGCTTTCTCGAACGCTTCTCGGCATTCAGCTGGCAATTCATCCAAGACATCTTTCGGTACGGCTCCGAGCCCTTGGAAGTCAGCTAGGAAGGCTGGTATCTCATGCTGCTCATATACGGCAGACGGGAGGGTAGCAGGGGGCGTCTCCATGTACGCATCGATAACCTTGAAGTTACGAGGAATCTTCGGGTCCAGCGGCGGAAAGCGAACGCTACCAGTCGGGGCGGAAGAATCTGCAACTTGCTCAATTTTCGCACGCGTAGGCTGCATAATGGCGGGATATTGTAACATATTTGTGTGAACGTCGTAGACACCGGATAGATTCATGCGTCGAATGGCGCCTATTTCAGCATTGAAACGGCTAGAAGACCAGTTAATAATCTTGAATGATCCTCGAGTGCTAATGAACAGGATGATAACGTACCTCGCCTCACGGGCATGCTCAAATTGCCAGTTGATATCTGTAACGTTCACTCGCCTCTTTTTAATGTCTACTTTGCCGTTTTGAGTGGGAACAGAGGGAGCCCCTGAGTGGTAAACAGCGCTGGCACCGTGCCAAGCGACATACTGATTCTTGTTGTATTCCTCACCCTCGACAAACTTGTCGTTAGGATCAGCAAGTTCGCCTTCTACAACACCCTTGGCTCGGGCCTTGGCAACTTCGTAGTCGTCAATAATTCGTTTTCCACCGACAATAATCAACGCGCCAAACTCCCGAAATACCGAACGGGCCGTGACGATCCCTATCGCACGGCCCTTGTAGGAATGGGGGATAATATCACGATCGATCATGTCTCGTTTCTCGTCATCATCCACAATGATCTTGTAAAGTCGCTTGTGCTTGGTGAAGAACAAGTAAGAGTCTCTGAATCCCACGCAACGGGCGGGTTCGGTAGACAACATATAAAGGCGATCTCCCCGGCCCGCAACAGTGAACGTTCGGCAACGGTACTCGCGTCCTCCCTGTAAGTTTCCCATTTTGTCTACTTTGGTCTCTCCTTCGGGATCTTCGGGTAATGCGACCTCATCATCGACAATATCCATCATATTGCCCTCTTTATCGATCGTTTGCTGCGTCGGCTGATAAGAGGCTCCCTTCCGACCACCTCTACCTCTCCATCCGCCACGACCGCGGCGCCTTGGGGGGTCATTTGGATCGCGCTGGGGAGTCTCGATCGGTAGGGTATCCCAGTCTGGCGGTCTGTTCTTCGGAGGACGACCTAGACGTCTCCTTCTAATGACTGGCTGAGGTGGAGGGGAAGGCGACTTCACGGATGGTCCATCGGAGTCTTGGTTTTCCTCAGGCTCTGCACCAGACTCGTCTTCGTTTTCTGGTTCCTCGGGTTCTACTTGTTGTTCTCCATCTGATGCGTCGGCATCTGGCATTACCTCATCTTCGATCTCCTCGAGAGCTCTCGGTGTATTCTCTGCGCCATTAATACCAATGTTAGATGTATTGGAGAAATAACCATGGAATTCGGGGATTAAAAGATGCGAAAGCGGGAGTCGAATTTCGATAGAGCGCGAACAGAAAAGGAAATTCAAAATTGTAGCGACTCACCAAGTTTTGCTGCAGCACGCTTGGCGGCCGCGCGACCGGGTCGCCGAGGCATATTTAAGGTTGTAAGATAGCAATGCGCATAAAGGGACTAACAAAAAAAAAAGGAGGTGGACCAGATTGAGCAGAATGCGACGGGTTGATGATAGAGGGTCACTTGAATGCTATTAAGTTGGAGAGGCTCAATTGACGAAATGTTGGAAAACGCGGCGCTTACACACTAACGCGGTTTCTATGGGGCACAACTTAGCTCCCTTAGATCTAGGTACCGGGGTACATGCCCTTGCAGCTGTCTTGCTAAGCCAAATCCACCAATCACATGACTAGAATTTCAATTATGTAATATTTCTTATTTTGTTTGTATGTACCTAAGTACCTAACCTATAGACGCCAAAGTCTCACTTTTCACTAGAACAACCTCTAAGTACGTTTCTGCTTCATACATTTGTACTTTTAAGAAGACCTGGATAAGGCATAAAACACATTAATGGGAAAATAAATTCATACTTCTTATTTTATTCCCCCTTTACAAACTCTGCAGGTCTCAGATTTGATACCAGCTCACTCTAGATGCGCTAGGTATGCCTATGTACCTACCGTCTGGGATATTATAGAGACTTGCTTACCCTAGGTACATTGATGTATTTACTTTCTATTTCTAAATTGGTCCGTCATACTTGCTATTTTCTCTTATAGAATGAGAAGAGTCGATGTGCTAGGGAAATATGGCAGGGTAGGTTGTCAGAAAGCTCACCTGACATCCACCGAAACAGCTATGTAGGTACCTAGACTTACAATTATTTAGGTACATACGCAATCTAGTCTCAAATATATCGATAATCTTTCATATAATACCCGGGTCGATTGCCCGCTTATTACTCGCATCATTATAAGTCGAATGCGTAATTATAAGTTGAATATGTTCCCTATTCTATTGACTTGAAGCTTACTTTCAAGTCTACGAAGAGACTAGGTACATCTTATTAAATGAACAGGTCCTAAGCAAAGGCACTAATAAGTCGCGCCTTGCCCCTAATATAAATTGTAGTCTTTTTAAAGTTCGATCCCGCTAATCATATAACAGCGGGACAACTCCGTGGTGAGGTACTACCCCTATTCGTGTAAACAGTGGGACACCGGTACATATCCTCTTGATCTAATTCCATTGGACTGCATCCCCAAACTACAGAAGATGCCTTCTTAGATATATATACTATAAACACTCTAATTGTTAGTCCTCCCAATATCTATCGGCCTTTGGAAATCTCGCACGTAAATAGTCAGGGGCCGTTACTGCGCCCCCTATCGAGAATGATAAAGTTGGCATTGGTTTTTAGTCTTCGTACATAGTAAAGCATATGAACTAGGAGTTAATTCTCGCTGAAGGAGATCTAAGTAATAGTAAAGCCCTGCCATAATGAATCCAGAATCCTTCCATTTGGTAGCTGCAGCTTTTAAATAAAATACCCTCCAACATTACTACATCAATACCTCAATGAGCATCCCCTTCCCCTCCTTAGCCACCCGCAAGCTCGCATTTCGAAGTGCCTCCTTAAACTCGCCTACCGTTCTAACTCTCAGACCCTTCATCCACGTGTCCGCATTTTCCGCCGCATTATCCCAGCCAACCTCCGACCCCGCTGCCGCTTCTGCTAGAGCAGCATAATTAGGTGTCGGGCGGAAAGAAACGTTGACTTCCTCGTCCGTCGCCGATGTGCTAAGGCCGTTAGGATAGACGAGTTCCGTAGAGTTCCGGGGGGCTTTCCAACCTTAAGTGAGAAATGTGTGTGTTAGCCTAGCCAGAACCCAATGCTAAACAAATGTTATATATTCGTCCCGGGTGAGTATAGGGGTTGATCACGCGACGTAACTTACCTCCGTTGTTCAAGACGATTGTTAAAATCGGGATCTTGTACTTGCTCCCTACCCACAGCGCAGTAGACGGCGCCGCGCACATAAAACTCCCATCGCCAACTAATTGGCACACGAGACTCGGTTTCTCTGCTCCCTCCTTCTCTAGGTCTGCTAGCGCCATCTTAACCCCTAGCGCCGCACCGTTACTCCAGCCGATACCTGTTCCGCCGCAATTGATCCAGCTTCCCGGTCGGCTGGGCTGTATTTGATCATATAGTAACTGTCCAGCCGTAACTGCTTCAACGACATAGGTCGTAGAGTCTGAGAGGGATGATTTCAGGAGACTACCAATGTTATGTGCATTTAGCGTTTCTTGGTCGCCTAAGAGCGGTTGAGAAGCGATACTCGCTAGACGAGCTTTATGAGCTTCTGCCCGAGCCTCGCCACGGGCTGCATACTTGGGGTCTCGTAGTGTTTCTGTAAGTGAAGAATCGTTCTTGATATGGTCGACCAGCTGTTTGAGTACAGTGAAACTGTCTGCTTTCCAGCGTCCATGTGCAGGGAAGAAAGAAACGGGGATCTGTTGATTTAGGGGGTCGCTGTCTACGTGGTATATCTTAGCGTCCTTCGGAGGTGGGTTACGGGACGGGATCCAGGGGACGTCACAGTCGAGTAGGAAAATCACGTCTGCATCTTTACTACAGTCGTCTGAACTAAGACGGAAACCTTCGGAAGCGACGTGGCTGAAAGGAAAGCACACGTCGCTGCCGCCCGTATCATGGACGCGTATACCGGGGATAAGGTCTGCCAGGGCGACGAGAAGTTCCGGCGTCCGGCGATCACGGCCGGAGTATCCCGTGATAATGAGCGGGCGCTCGGCTTGGACGAGCGCCGTAGAGATGTCATTGATAGCATCGGTTGGAAGCGCGCTTGGACCGACAGGTACCCACTGCGCCTGATCTAATGAAGATGGTGGGATTTCTTGAGCTAAAACCTCTCTTGCGGCGGCGATATAAACTGGGCCCTTGGGTGTGCTACTTGCGAACTGAAGCGCGCGTCCAATTGTTTGTTTAATGTTTAGCCCGGTGCGAACTTCGCCTGTATACCTGCAATACTGCCGTACAATAGCCTTTTGGTCCGGAGCTTCTTGCAGCCAGTGCATATACTCCGTTCGGGAGCCAGGGAGTTCCCCGGACTCGGTGTACGGGCACAGGCCAGCGAAGATGAAGACCGGGGCTCGGCCGACGCTAGCATTATGGATTCCTTGACCGAGGGCTTGCGTTCCGACATCGACGTGGACAAGAACAGCCTGCGGACGCCCTGTGACTCGAGCATACCCGTCAGCCATCGAAATCGCGGTGACCTCAGAAGGGCACGTAATCATCCTAGGCCAAGTGTCGGGCCGTTCTCTCTTGCCTTTGACAATGGCCTCAATGATGGATGGATGATCTGATCCGACATTGACGAAGCATGCTGTTATGCCAGCCTTACGACCATAATAAGCGACAATGCCACTAATAAGTAAACGGAGACACCTACTTCCCAAAGCCCCTCAAACAGGGCGAATGCGGTTGTATATCTAATTGAAAATTAGTTTAGATGAACAGCATGTAACTAGCAATTGATCAGGGACATACGGTCCAGAAGTACTCTGTGGTTTGGCCATGTCTACTGACTTTGATGTTTGAGATCTATGTTGGTGTGTTGAATAGGTGGCGGTAGATGTAAGCGATATTCCTGCGCGAGACCAACATGTGAAAGGCAAGACAGGCCTCAATGCACGAGAACAATATGGCCTTCGGGCGGTATTTATCGCCAACCTGCGGGCGAGCAAACTTCGAAAAGCCATTCTAGCAAATATGTACTATGGTAGGTGACCTTTGAATAATAGGAGGAGGGGAGGTTTATAACCATGTAAGGCGGGTGACATCGGATATGAATTAGTTACAATTAGTTGCACAGGCGCTAGGATTTAGGACTCCTTCTGTCAATTAAAGAGTATTATTCGTCCGATGACTAACCGGCGACTTGTTCTCCCTTTACAACCCAATTAAAAGAAAATATATTAAGTCTCAATTCTGTATTTGAAAATTTTATTTTTCCGTAATGCAATTATTTCTATATTTTCATAACGTATGCCGAAGCTAGGTAGGTACCTAATACGACAACTACATCCTCATTAAGGCATTTTGTCTTGTGAGTGGTACCCCTTATATTGACCATCAAGATACATATATTAAGAAGATTTCTAAGCGTAGAATACCGGGCTACATACATTCGAAAGTGTCCGGTTACGGAGCCGTGTTTCCCGAAATAAAAAGGATGTACGTAGAGAGTCCGATATTATAAGGCTTCAACTGGCTTAGGACACGGCTTGTATTGTTTGACAACATTGCGGCAGATATTCTCATAATATGATCCGTGATCATGTCCTATGGGGTGCTGCTATGAGCAGCCATGGCTTATGGAGTAGACATTCACTTCAGAGTCTGCTACAGGATCACCCGGCGCCGATGAGATAATGACGATACAGGGCGTTGCTTAGCAGATAAAGAGGGTATACATGCCAACATTATAAAGCAGCCAAATGCAATAGGTGATGAATGTGGTTAAGTTGTAATATAATAGCTCTGGGCGGATTTCGATAACACCTGTGTTTGAAGGAAATCCTGTCAAGTCATTATGTCACCAGAGGCTTTAATACTAACCGAAGAATTCGAAAGCTTTATCGTAGTTGATTCTAGCAATGTACTTGGACCAAAGATATCGCTCGATAGGAAGCCAGAATCCTCACTTCTGACAAGTGTTATCGATTCTTAATGAGAGTTGTTATGGTATCAGGATATACATTGCGAGAACAGAGCTATAAGCACCGACCCGAAGCGTGATATAACAGCACATCGTAAAGCCACAGAATATTCGTCAACTATCAAAAAATCCCACCGTTTCCCATCCAGTCCGATCGAAGACCTTCTCTTCATTTCCCAAAACCCATATGCTGACTTGGCACTGAACCCTTTGTGCAGATTACGCTAACTCCGACCCCGAGAACCCCTATTGGCAAAGGTATAAGTAACAGACAAGTAGTAGTATAGGGAAGCTCTTACAACTAGTAGAACGCTATTGACGCTCGACAGTAACTTCATTTCTTATTATTACAACACCTTCCTCCGGCTTTTCTCTGTGTGATAGATGCCCCATTGGCGTCACATTCACATCATTGCCGTGGTCTTGCAGCTCGATGTACGGTCCATCTCCATTCGTGCTAAACATCGTACCCATGAGACTCTTGGTAAAGTATGGGTCCGATGGTGGATGGGATGACCCTTTCGATTCGTTCCAGCCCCTGACTTGAGAGGCGGTCGGGCGATTCGGAGTGTTGGCCTTGCGGTTTCGTTTCCGGAAGAGGAACGCGAGCTCGGGGAAGCAGACGCACAGGTTGCCGGAGGCGAGTTCCGCTGCTCCCCACAGGAGAATCTCGGGTTGCCTCCACGATGTATCGGGGTTGCCGCTGTTCTTGAGACGCACGACGAAGCCGATCGTCGCAAAAATGGGAGCGCTGTACGCGATAAGTATGCGATCATAGTCGTTTCGAACATCTTCTCTGCCTCAAGGATCTGCGTTCTTCTCTTGCGAAAGAAATAGAGACATACCATAGACCAAAGGTAAATGCCAAGACGACAAGAGTCTGCTTTAGTTTATCCATCTGGAGCTGGCGCACAGCGTGGACGGGAAGCAATAGAATCAAGAAATCAGTCACTGTGTTGAAACCACCGCTGACGTTTAATATCAGATTCGTCTGCACGCATGTCCCAGGGAGCGTCTTATTCCAGATCTTCTCACGAGGTGTACACTCGAAAATCTTGACGAAAGTGGTTATCCCGTAGAAGCCGGTAATAAGAACGATAAGCGTGACGATGGCGATGTCGAATATGCTCCATCGGATAGGCGAGAAGACGCGGCGATATAACCAGAGAACCGCAAGCTTGGTAACTCCGATCATGACGCCGTACTCGATGGACGCAACGTTAAACCAGTACGAGGCTTCGTGGAGTTGAGCCGGCGTGATATCCCAACCGTGCTGACCACCGTGATGGGACATGGTAGCCCTCATAATGCCGCAGTAGGCAATGGTGCCAGCCCACGCGGCCGTCACTATAAAATCTTCGAAGATCCATACGCGCTTAATAGCGATACGGGCATAGCATCGTAGAATGAAGAATACGGTAACAAATGGAATGCATATCCCTATCGTGATGTCGGCGAGTCCAGCTAAGGAAGCCGGATGGTCGGGATTGGACTGCACACCAGGCGGCGGCTCCAGAGCCGGCGTAAAAGTGGGTGTAGGAACCGTCGAGGTCTCTGACATTCTGGGGGCCATGACACGAAGTCAAGCGGAGTGAGAGAGAGAACGGGCCTAGTGAGATTCACTACTGCATATATAAAGCAGTAGGATCATATTCTTAATCAACTCCAATTCCCACATGGTAGGGAATACATACTGCTTATGTCCTAGGTATTGTTTTCGGTAATGAGTACCATACCTCTTTTATTCAGCCCCCCTCCCCACGTTGTATTGCATAAAAGCTGACACCATCTGCACCATCCATACATAGCGCCTCCTTTCCAGCTTTCCATGCAGGTGTTCCATGGCAGCATGGGTCTTTGCATCCGTTAATGATATGCAGTGCACCAACGCGGAGATGATATATGATATCCTGCCTGCTGTAACTCCTCCCACGCAGCTAATTAATAATAACCCATTCGCAAATAGTCGCTCATACAAGTCATACAAGGCGATCGGGCAATGCATACCCAGATAGTTAGACAAGATGAACAACGTGCTGATCCAGTAGTCCGGTTTACCTACATGCCACCCGAGTCGCAATTATCGTTCTAGATGTTTGCTCATGGCATGCTGAACTGCACGTAATGCAACACTTCGTAGAGATGTAATGTAATATACAAAGCGCCGAGACGGAATCCCAGGTGCATCGAGACAATTCTTTTTAAACGAGTCCGTGGTATCTGAGGAAGCGCTGTCTCTTTCGGGTTACTTACCCCGGGCTCCTTCAATCCTTCGCCACGTTGTTTATGATACCCTCCCTCCATTGGCAATCGGGCACTTTTGTAGACAATCTAACCATCGAAGCCGTTGGGTTACCTTTTCCAAGTTTCTTTTTCTTCTTTTTTTTCAACCCTCTTGTATTACCATTACCAGCTGAGCAATAATGGGCACTCCAGGTACGCACGCCACCTCAATATATATTAATTGTTACCGTCGACAGATGATGCTAAGCTAACATGCTCAGACCGCGATGCAACCGAGTCTACCTCGACGTTACCTGACGACCCCGACACCCTGTCGGAGGCCGAAGCGTCAAAGTTGATGCGCAAGATCGACCTCCACGTGCTCCCCATGCTCTTCCTGATCTATGTTGCAGCCTTTCTTGATAGGTGAGTTTCTCGTGCTCATGCTCATGCTCGTGCTCGTACTCGTGCGCATGAGAATTCCCCGATTGACCTGGCGGCTTTTCAGGGCGAACATATCAAATGCTCTCACTATGAGATTACCAGAGGAGTTGGGATTGACTGGCCAACAACCTAACATTGCGCTGGCCGTGTTCTTCGTTCCTTATATTGTTTTCGAAATACCTTCAAACATTTTAATGAAGCGATTTAGCCCTCATGTATGGCTGTCTCTTTGCATCCTCTGTTTCGGCGTTGTCATGCTGGGTCAGGGCTTCATCCGGAACTACAGCGGCCTGCTCGCGACGCGCTTCTTACTTGGATTCTTTGAAGCTGGCATCTTCCCGGGGAGTTTCTATTTAATCAGTTTCTGGTATAAGCGGCAAGAGTCGCAGAAACGGTTCACCGTTTATTTTTGCTCCGTCATCCTAGCTTCTGCCTTCGGTGGTCTCCTGGCCTCTGCGATCGCAGAAATGGACGGGATACGAGGCATAAGTAACTGGAGGTGGATTTTTATATTAGAAGGCATCCTAACTATTCTAGTCGCTATCGCGGGGTATTTCTTCGTCAGTGATTTCCCTGCCGAGACAAAGTGGTTATCTGAAAGAGAGAAACAATTCGTTCTGAGAAAAACTCGTACGGAGGAGACTACGGAAGAGAAGATCACTGGGAAAGATATTATTGAGTTCTTCAAGGATCCCAAGAATTACCTCGGTGCGATAATGTACTTCTGTATGTTTTTACTCCAACTTCCAACTTGCATCTCCCCAATAATCCCGTGCTAAGTCCTATCAGGTGTTGTCGTTCCGGTTTATGCATTCGCCTATTTCACACCCACAATCGTCAAGACGCTCGGATACTCAGTAGTCCAAACACAACTGCATTCAATCCCCCCATTTGCAGCTGCGCTCGGATTGTGTCTCGTATTAACATATCTGTCGGACCGAACAGATAGTCGTCTTCCATTTATTATGTTCCCAATCGCTGTTCTCATCGCAGGACTTGCGATTTTGATGACGACGCATTCGAACTTCTCAGTGCAGTATGCAGGACTTTGCTTAGTCTGTATGGGTGCCTTCAGTGCGGGTCCCGTAGTGATTTGCTGGTATCTTATGAATCTCCAAGGACATAAGCAACGAAGCATTGGTTCAGCGTGGATGATCAGCTTTGGTAATACGGGTGGAATACTGGCCCCTTTCTCATTTCTACCAAGAGACGCTCCATATTATCATCCCGGCTACTCGGCGTGTATGGCGGTCGCGGCGGTGGGGGTTGCGGCAAATCTCTGCTATGCACTACTTATACTGAGGGAGAGGCGCAGGGTACAACATGATGGCGGAACCGAGAAGAAGCATGATCTGTCATTGTAGATGTACTTCGCCGAATCTGCGGGTGACGAGTGACGGGTGATGGGTGATAACACATCGGTCTAACCGGTAGAACTTGGACTCGATAGTACCGAAAGGCCCGCAGATACAACCGCAGATACAACCACAGATACAACCAACGTAAGGGAGTGTAACACCGCTTGTGGCTCCGCCATGTCAGGTACATTTACTGGATATAAAACCTATAATATCCGCCTGCCGTAGTAAACAAACGAGCAGGTGGTTTATATTGTCCCCATATCATTATCTTTTAGATCATATCTTTTAGATCATATTTCTTAGAGCATTATATCAGTTAGATCATAGATTTAATTTTCCCACATATTCACATGGCTGCCGAACCAGAATCCGGCCTCGGTTTAAAGAGCTCTGAAGGTGCGCTTATACTTATGCTACGAATATCCATATCCCCGTTTATACATATTGATGAAAGTAATAACTAGTCCATGTTGTATCTACAGAACCTGTAGCAGCTAGTTCGGCTCCTGCCGAGCTGGCTGCAGGTCTGTCAACGGTAAGCTTCCACCACTCGATCGTCGAATAGTCAGTCATCGGTGTTAACGTATGCCGGCATGCAGGCACGGAAACTGTTCATCTCTACGACCGTCATCCTCATGAACTTCAATGTTACATTGGGGTCCTCTCTCCCCAGCGGAGCAGGAGATACGTTGAATGCTCATTTTGGCGTTACGTCTGAACTCCAGAAGCCATTACCAGTAGCTGTTTTCCTCATTGGTTATAGTAGGTGAACTCCCCCATATGAATGATATGTTTGGGTAGCAAGATCTATTCTAACAGACCTCTTTACCAAGTCTTCGGGCCCATAATATTCGCCCCGCTCTCTGAATCGTGGGGTCGTCGTCCGGTCTTCCTGGTATCCTTCGGCATCTACACTGCATTCACACTTGGATGTGCCCTGGCACCAAACTGGCCAGTGTTTCTCTTCTTCCGATTCCTGCTGGGCTGCGGCGCGGCTGCACCGCAGACTGTTTCAGGCGGCCTTTTCTGTGATATCTATCCCGATCTGGGGCCCCGCGGTCTGGCCATGACGATGCTCGGTCTTACAAGTAACATTGGACCCCTCGTGGGTCCTATCATGTCTGGATTCACCTCAACAAAAGTTTGGCAATGGCAGTTCTGGAGCGCCTTGATTCTCGCTGGTGCTAACTGGCCTATGCTACTTTTCGTGCCCGAAACGTTCGCTCCTGTAGTCAACGCCCGCGCTGTAAAAAGTGCTACAAAGACGAAATCGCATCAATTAGTCGGCTCTGTCATTACTAAAACGCGATTAGGTATACGGGATCGAGTAAGAATTTTGGCACGTCCCATCCGCATTCTCTCGGAACCGCTTGTTTTCTTCACGGATCTCTTCATCCTCTATCAATATGTAATCTACTTCCTCTACTTTGGGGCGTATCCAGTCATTTTCCGCGGTACATATGCCATGTCCAGTGGAGTTTCTGCTTTGATGTTTATCCCTACTGGTGTCGGAGGGATTTTTGCCATTGCTATATTTGTAGCTTGGGATAAGTTTCATAAAAAAAGTGTCGAAAGAGGAAGGCCATGGGCTCTCCAGGAGGAGTACCGACGACTTCCACTGGCCTGTCTTGGTGGTCCCCTGTTCGCATTGTCCGAATTCTGGCTAGGGTGGACTGCTCGACCTACCGTCCATTGGGCCGTTCCCGCGTTATCAGGCATATCGTTAGGCATCGGCATCGATCTCACATTTCTAGCACTAAACAACTACCTCACGGATGCATACGGCATTTACAGCGCATCGGCGTTAGCGTCGAGCGTCTTTACGCGAAATATTTTCGCAGCGGTTATTATTCCTCTTACCACATATCCGCTGTATGAGAATCTAGGTACCGATTGGGCTTGTACATTACTAGGATGCTTATGCGTTGCTTTGACTCCGATCCCGTTCGCCTTTATTCGCTGGGGTCCGGCCATGAGAAGGCGCAGTTCTTTCTGCCAGAAGTTAGCACGTATGAAGGACGAGGATGAGGGTGAGGGTGGTAACATGGTGGTTCCCCTTTGACCGAGCTAATTCCGACAACACGTTGCACATGCTAAATATGTATGTATTATGTATGAGGTACATAGCTTTGTCATAACCTGAATGGCTGGGATTATGTATAAATTTGCGTAGTAACTAAGAAGCCCCATAGAAATTCAAAGGACTAGTTCTCCCTTACTTTAGAATCCACCAATCACACAAGCAGCATGTCACGCCCAGCCGGAGGATGGTCGCACAGAAGTAACATCGGGGATTGATTCAGCGTTAAGATGCCCCCTCCCCCTCCCCTTTAAGCTTATTCTGAAGTAATACTACTCAGCTGATATCAACCAACCTGCACTCCAACACAATTCCACCTGCTGATCTTTTACTCCCTCAGGTCGGGGAATTAACAACTCTGTAGAGATGTGCTAGGTGTGTAGCAATTGCCACTTATCATTCATCAAGCAAAAAGCTTCTACTGCGTACGTACGACTCAGCAGACAATATTCTGTACATAAGACGGCATTGTACCTACCTATGTACTACACGAGACCCACTATATAATGTTGCATTAGCTCCCGCTGTGGGGTACATTGATGTTACGTAAGGCTAGAGATGTGGCGCCTTTTCAATAATGCAATGGAATTAAGACCTTTTGCCACATTTATGTTCATATGTTCATATCTAGTGTACCTAATGTATGAATAACCTAGGCACCTGAGTTTACAACCATCCCAAATATGAATATAACGAGTGATTACCGCTACCCTAGAGCGTTAGGCAAGCAATTAATTATTTCCCCCTCTCTAGGCTAGACCTAAAATCGTGATCCTTTTACTCAGCGTATGAAGATTCAACGCTATCCCCAACCTGAAGCGCGGGGTCCGACTCAAAGTTAGCCCTCTTCTCAGCGTACGAGGACTCCTCCGAGCTTCCAATGTGCAGCAATGGGTCGGCCTCAAAGTTGGTCCTCTTCTCGGCATATGAAGACTCATCCGAATCCCCAACTTGTAGTAATGGGTCGGCCTCAAACGTCTCCCGCTTAGTCGCATATGATGAGTCGTCTGGGGTCCCGATGGTGAGTGCGGGATCGGCCTCGAAGTCTAACGACGTTAGCATCTACTACTAATGATCACTTTATAATCTGGGAGACATACTCTTAGGCTTCGGCGCCGGAGCAGCGATCGCAATCGCGGCGATTAGTGGGAGTAGGACGAAGCTCTTCATGGTGGAGAGTCAGGCGTCTAAGTAGCTGCTGGAAGTAGAAAGGGCAGATTCACTCGAAATAATCTGTAACAAACAAGCAGTGCGAATTCTGATGATGGTTGAAGTAGGAAAATAATCGGAATGGCATTTCGAATAACATGCCATTTATACCATTTATATCCCATTAACAGCCGGACATAAGTCCTAAAAAATATACATACTTCACCTAGTGTATGTCCTCAAGTGCGAGGGAGACACGGCGGGTCAACCCTCCAAAATCCGAGCAACTTGATTGATCCAAAATAGCTATCATGAATTCTGATTGAACATACCTTAGTATAAGGTACCCACCGTGTCTCCCTCGCACTTGAAGACATAGCTTTCCTACATAGTAAGTATTTCATCGAAAACCAAACATGGGTCTTAAATATTCTACATTTTTAACGAATAAAATAAAGAAATGAAGATCTTATTTTGGTTGTTGTGGATTAGATCGTAAGCCTTTTTGTGGTAGCGAGTTTGATTTTTGAAAGTTATTGGATAAAGTGATGGATGAAGTGTGGATTTTTTTTAGGACCCATGTCCGGCCGTCAATGGGATACCTACCTCATCAGTCTTGTACAATATCGTTCGGTATATAGTTACCATGCCCGCTACTTCTTAAGGCTGATCCAAGCAGAAAGTCCCATCCCCGCTCCCCACGGGCGAAATCGCTATGTATGGAGACATATAAACTTGCAGGTCACTCATTGCTTAGCGAAGAACTACACATTAGGCCGGCTTACATGTGGAGAGCAAGACCTAACCGACTCCGTTGAGGTTCACTTTAAGTTAATAGTTCGAAATATAAACTTAGGGAGTTGCAGTGCCATGGCCAAGCCAACCTATGAGGTAGGTCGGTCCAAGTTATCACATCATCTCAAGTGCTACAATGCATATGCTATACCCCCCACATACGCTTTCCTTCTGGCTAAACCTGTCCCACGTAAGCAGAGGTGGGCTTGTAAGCTTCGGAGAGATATGAATGGGGAAACAATCGATGAAATAGCCACCGAAGATATCGTCACATCATCAACAGAAACATTCTGCTATCAAACCATCTTCGTGACGATGGACGGCAAATACTCACGATACGAACCCTGGCACTCGATCACTACCGGCAGGGATCCTCAAGGGAGAGTTCCCAAGCCCAAGATTTGAAAAGATAACATATCACTGCAGAATCCAGATGCAAGCAGACGTACTGTAAGCAAATGCGGGGAATTCAACCAACTCCAAAAAATCTTTATAGACGATCCATCGCAAGATTGTACCTAGATCCACCTTCAATACCAGCAACACTAAAGTACCTTTACCGCAGCGAATGATAACAAAGTCCGCTCCTTCTAAGACGAGTATCATCGTGCGAGGTTGAAGCTTAGAAGCTCTATCCATAAGTGCTTATGGAAAACGTCACCAACACTTTTACTACCATCCAACTACTTATTCACTACACCAGGTGGCTCTTCTAAATCCCATTACCACCAATTCACATCTCAATATCACCTGAGATCATGCCTCGGGAATTTGCTTATCGCCCCCTTTCGGGCTCTTCCTTAGACTCTCCTTCAGCAACACCCGCTGATGATAAAGAAGAGGAATACGTTGAATGCAAACATTGCACGACACGTAACCGGACTCGAAAGAATCATTGGATTGCTCATGCTGTGAGCTTGGTTGCTATTATCAGTCTATCAATCCTTTTGATACGCTCCTATGACGGTGCTATCATAGCTGCAAGATGTTGGGACATGCATAACTACTACTGTAAGCACCCGGATTCTCCTCCTATCTTACTTCTGTCACATGTTAGCGGTTAAACTTACAACTTCCCATCAGCCCCTGTCAACGAGGCATTGAGTACTCAGCCCTACATCACGGTCCGGTTCAACGGGTCACTTTGGTATGAGTCTCCCTTCAAAGGTCCACCAACCCCAGCCGTTGAAGAGGCTTGGCACTCAATTATGCAATATGGGATGATCGCCGTGTCCGCATCAGACTATGAGAAAGTCAACCACTCAACCCGTACCGCAGTCCAGTTTCCTGAAGAAGCTGGAGGTGGATACATGGTAACGACAGTCGGGACGCATCAACTTCATTGTCTGCATTTCCTCTGGCAAGACCATCATCGTACTTACTTCCCGGATGTCTTACGCAAGGTGCAAGATGTTCCAGAGCTATATGAGCGGCATTTTGAGCATTGTGTGGACTACATCAGGCAGAGCATCATGTGTAACTTCGATACAGGTTTGGTGACGTATGATTGGGTCTTGGAGCATCAAAATCCGACTCCCAATTCCAATGCCATGCACAAGTGTGTGAATTGGGATGTGGCGCAAGAGTGGTTGCGAGACCGAGCAGTTGAAATCCCGGATGGTTTCAAATGGAAGCAACCTGAAGGACAGGAAAGTCTACCATGGAATCCTTGATACCTAGAATTCGAAACATGGAGGGTACCTATGTAGAGATTTGAGAAATGATAGGTTGTCGGCAACGGCCGAGTCCATGCAGTGAGAAAGTTGAACAACCTCGCTCGGCAGCGGAACGAGGTCACAACATAAAGGGCTAAGTCTAGAATGAGTATCCTGACGAATCATCTTCATAGTTCTTAGTCCCCAAATTTAATAAATAATACGTAGTACTTTTCTCGAGACCTTCCTACTTGGACAACTACAAAACAGATCTGACAAATAAACATCTTGAGTCAATCAGCCGCAACGGCCCGAATAGAGAAAAAAAAAAAGGAAAAAGCATTCCATAATTTACTCATAGTTTTATTCGTAGGCGATTAAGGGCTAGAAACGCAATACCAATGATGGCACTGTCGAAAATAAAGCCCGCCCAGGCGAACAACAGACCTTATATCAAATGTACTGCAACGTCGGACTGGTAAACCAACTGGATTTGCGACCGCATAACTCTTACTTGCATGGAGGAGTCGAATACCCGAGTCTAAAGGCGGGAGTGGCTTGACTTGACAGGGCTTTAAAGGGAGATGATCGTGCCGTGCACATGCATGTAAGATCAAGGCTCCATTGGCTCGACATATCACGCCTAACCGTATTGTGACAGTTCTCGGTACCAACGTCTCTGTCCTGTGCAAAGGTTCCCTGCTGCTCGCTATGTATGAAGTCCACATTACCTACCACATTGCCACCATAGCAATGCCACTCGTGTGCCTTAGACTTGCAGGCTTGCTATCATACATAGCAGTCTGCATACATAGTACATAGAAGTTAATGACCACAAGATAACCGGAAATACCATTCAGTCCCGTTACATCGCAGACAATAATGCTTCCCAAAATATATGACGATGCTTCGCTTCAAGTATCTCCAAGTATGCAATCCAACCCCATGCATCCCGCAAGAATCATATCATCGCCTACTATTACGGCATACGGAAGCTTAATCGTGACGCTGTGTACCAGATCCAAACGGGAGGAACCGCGAACAGGCTGACAGGCAGAGCCGGCGCAGTTTTATGCATACATTTTATGTATAATACATCAGCCTCCTTAGCCCACGCGGACGACCCACCAGCAAGGATTCAATCACTTCGGATTGAGACGGCGGAGGATTTATATGTTACATCTTGGGGGTGCATACATGAATCCTTCGAATACCGGCCCATTAATTCATTAATTTGATGGAAAGATGAAGAATTTCGCTACTTTCACTGTCACCCTACCTAATAAAACTAAAACTAAAAGCTTAGTGCCTCTGCAAACCGCCTACATGTACATACATACATAGTAGCCGTCTGTGGTGATAGGCATGCCCGAAGAATCTGTTGGAAACTGTGGCAGGTTTCCGGACGCAATACGATAGGTGTGGCGTTCCAGACCTACAGTAGACCAACATACATATGAACTCAGGAGATATCGTTGTCGCTTCGGCGACTTCCTGGCGGATTTCACCCCCTCATCATACATATCACTACGGCCAAGTTATTCGGGAGATCTCGATTCTACTAGAGGAGAGGGATTTAAAAATATCCTACAGGACAGATTATCGGTAGATGCATACGGAAACGATTTATTGATGGGCTGGGCACTCGGCCGAATGTGATGTCTAAGTAATTCAGATAATCGGCCGAAATATCTGTTTGGATTGTGTCTTCGATGTGACTAATTTCATATAGTGGCGACTGTTATCCATGTACGAAATTTCGCGTAAGCGTGTTTTCCTAGGGCTTTCGTTGATTCTATCTCCAATCTACCAATAAGTCTCTAACTAAGAGTAAGAAGAGTGCGACATCATGGCCGTAGGCAAGATCGTTGGCGGGCCATGGTGCATGCATGCATACCTTTTTTCAAAAGCTTCTTAAAACTCCAATGCAAGCGCACGCGGCTCAGAATAGCAAGAAAAAGATAAAAAAGCAAAAAGCTCAGTCCCAGGTTCGAATCCCCTCGGATAGGGGCAGGGGATTCGAACCCAGGACCTACGAAAAACCGGCTTCGTTAGGTATCTGCTGTCAAGTCACGTTCTTTTTTTGGGAAGAACGGTTCAGCATAAGACACCACAGTGGGGTTTTCTCTGGCCTCAAGTCGCCCGGGCGGGGGGCGTCGGTTGAGAGTTTGTCTGCAATTAGGATATATAACCTTCATTTCGAGGTAGGTACTTGGGCAGGTGTATCTCGTTGCCTAGGTAGGTTTCTGCCACCTGGTCTCTCAGGTGCTAGGCAACGAAGAGGGAGTCTCGCGACGCTAAGTCGCCCTACAGATGGCAAAAGTTGCTAGGGGTTAGAAGTGTGTTTAATTCTATTGCTGCAACGGCACAAGGCTCCAGGTAGCTGATGGCGATGTTCGCGAGCCCATGTGCAGAGCGCCTCCATCGTGAATAAAGGTAGGTAAGCTGTAATAAGTAGTGCTAAATGTTAAACTCCATAGCAATGTTAAGATGGGATGTTGCATGCGTGCTTAGATAGTATCCCTTCATGTCTAAATATTAAAGAGTGGAAATAACAGTAGAATGTATTTGGATTGCTGCTATATATGAATAATCTAAATATCACGTAGGGCAATGCTACATTTCTAAGTTACAGAAAGTTTGTCTTGCCAAACGCTGCGCGAAGCCATGTAGTTCCTATATAGATCGAATATCAGTAGATACAAGGGATAATCGACGGTATAGATTATATTTCACCACACAACTCATTGTCGGGAAGTAGTCAATACCAGGGGCGGTTAAACTGGAACATAGTCTATGATAGAGCTGTTAAAGTGAACCGTATTAGAATAACCCCCCTATTTCCCTCCTTAAATCAGTGCAATCTTCTCCATCTCTAAATTATCCAAGCTATAGGTTTTACTTATGGCATAAGGTCTATATCCTACTCTATAGATGCCGATGCTACAGCGCTTTTGCGAGATTCCATCAAACTCTACCAACAAAGTAGACATTCACTTAGTAATATAATGGAATTACGGACTTTCATACTCGTGTTATAATTCCCCGTGGATATTCTAGATATATCCCTAGTTTGACTTGGATGGACTGGCCCATGACCAGGACGGGTTATGAACAAGGTTGCAAAGGGGCTGGGGGGCCTGTGTTCGAGCCTCTTGAATAGAAGGCCGCACACAAGATCATCCCGCTAGAGAGCGGAACAGTACTCGTCGCTAGTTATCCGCCAAAATTGTTCAGCCACCCCCCAGATGGGCTGGTAATCGATCTTCCGGCCTCGTCAGAATTTTTTGGCAATATCTTGTGACAATATCATACTATTCGCTATAAAGTAAATTTCGACAATAGGAATCATAAGGAAGACGACATCTATGTTGGGTTTAGATAAATGATTTTAGCTCTCCCCGATGATAGGAAGAGCCTCCTGTGATAAGATCCTTTGGCTTCTAGCTCTTGAGAGAGCGCAGTCGAAGACCTGTGGGTAATGACAGAACTCCCTTGTGCAAAGTTCTCTATATTTCTAAATGGCATCCTCAGGAAGGAAGTGTGCTGCCCTAAGAGAGCCAATTTTCTTGAAAAATCAAGTTTCAGGCCAGCAGTAGTAGATGCTCCCCTAGACCTAGGTACAGAGCTAAACTCAGATTGCGAGTTGTACGTCTAACAGACTTTCGCGTGTTCTACCCATAACGTATGGGGGCTTTAAAGGATGCCAGACGAGCCTAGTAAATCTAACAATATGGCATAATGTGTGACGAATTACTTATGCTTTAACATAAGTCTCTCCATGAATGTTTGCAAAGTAGCTCGCTACGAGTGTCAAGTCATCGTTGGCATAGATGCTCGCCATCTGCGTATTCTATTTCTCCCAGTCAAGTTCACTACCCTAGATGATACAAAGCCAGTCAATCCAAAAGCAGGCAAATCCCAGTTTCCGCGTGACCGTAACAGCGTCTTAGAATATCCACGGTGGCCTTCTAAAAGGGACGCCAAAATTACCTTCTTTTACGTCGACATATCGGACCTAAAAGTGGCTTGACGTTAGATACAATGTACCAAACTCATTGGTTTCTATAAGATTAACCGAATTTAAATTATGTGTACCAAAATCAACCACTCTTGTAGGCATCTTTATAGTCAAACCACGTCAGTAGGTATCCTTGGTGCCCAGCTTCATATTTCTGCAGCCAATCTTGGATCATAATACTAAAAGTCCCTCCAGGGATGCTGCTCTCAAGATGATAGCATGCGAAGGTACGTTGTGGCAGTGCCTCATTGGAATATGTCGTTATTTAGCGACATGTTACATGTCAAGTGGAAGTTCATGGACTACTTCTTACAGGGCCTGAAGGAATACTCCTGGTCTCTGAGGCCAATTCAAGAAAAGCAGATAGATTTGCGTCGATGGATGTCTTGCGAGAAGAAAACTCTACGACATTGCATCGATGGCAACCAGATCTTGCAGCTTCTCTTAACAGATAGAAATTATGTTACTCAACTGAAGGGCGTGTCATGTCCTTGAGAACAAATAGGCAGGACTCATTGCGGTTCATATACATCTCGTTATAATTTTCATATCTGCTGAGGGCTTCTCTAGAGGCCAAGTCACATGCTAAGAAGATGCTACTTATCTCTTGGTCCTCATCGGCGAATCCTATTGCATGGTTGCTTGGCTGATAATTCGATGGAAGCGTGCTCGTCAAAGTAAGTTGAGAGAAATTTGTAGGTAGTTTGTCTTCGTAACTTGCTCCCCTTATTGGTCATGTCTTTTCAATTAGATATATTAACACATTATCGACGATGTAATAATCCAGTGTCAAGATAATCCTCCGCCGTCTATTGAATTGGTAGCTTTTACGTGTGTGCCTAGGGAAAATATCGACTCATACACGTGAATAATAGTACTAAAATAGATCTACATCTCAACGTTGGCTAACTATCTCTTAAGGTTAATTTAGTCTAATTGAGCAAAGATAAGACATCAGAGAGCTAAGATAAAACTAAGATATCCCAAAGTGTTTGATATAGCAAAAACCACAACAGTTTTAATAGCGCCCTGTTTATATAATAGCAAAATAAATGGCATAACTATACCGAATTAGTTTGTAGATAGTCACAACGTTTAGTAGATCTGCGGTGGGTAAAGTGTATATCTTATACCTTGTCATCGGCAGCACGCGCGATAAGGGGGGTTAACTTTACTGGACGACTTGGACTTACTCCTATCGTCTCTGCGGGGGAGATTGCATCACATATACCTAATGTATATGCCCAGCTTGTCCTTGCATTACTGAAAACATCTCCTTACCTAACTGACCTACATATTCAACCTGATAGGTCCCCGGATTGTTTCCTAGTTATTATCTCCTAACTCGCACCACCTTATCTTCTCTGCCGCCGCTAGTGACGCAGCCGACAACGGTCATGAGCAACGAGCATACTTGGTCGTCGGCATCAAGCCCGAGATATCTCCTGTCTTGGGCTTTCTCGTCCAATTTTCTCGATTAGGTTGCTGTTGTTTTGGCTTAGCTTAGTTGGCTTAAAATTAGCCTCGTCGTCCTAGAATGAGATGCGGCCGAGAACGGTATAAGTGGCTAAGCGCCCTGTCCTACATATATCTAGATGTTCGGCTTTTTCCTCTGAACCTAGTGTTTCCGATCTAGAATTACGAAGTGAATCGGAAGTCGGCTTCGATTCAAATCCTTTGTATATAATTGCAACATTCAAGGTACGGTAGTCTCTACGATGTTTGGCCAGGAGGACGAGCAGGTATGCGGGCAAACAAGCCAGGGCTATAAGAGCTTGTGGGGGCTGAGTAGCGATTGCGCTTCTACGACCAAGGCCTACTGGGGTAGACTCTCTTCCCAAGACCATCTGAAAGAATCAATCTATGCTGGCACGCTCGCGCTCGTGTTATTATCCACGATATTAGTATATATAGTTCGGAGACAGAGACTCAACAAGCACGACACGCGCCCGTCTACGCCAACCACGCCAGGACTTGAGAAGGCGGCATCGAGGAGAAGTAATACTCAAGGTCGCGAATGGGGTAAATGGGTTCCATCGGACTTTCGCATGCCGAAGCCAGACCCGTATCCAGACTGGTCGGTCGAGCACACGAAACCGCTCCCATACAGGCCGTTTCGGTATGGCCCCAAATACAATGTAACCATGGGACTCCGATCGGTTAAACATGTCGATTGGATTGAGCTGGATAATCACTTCCCACGGTACCACGCGGACAAGGCACGGCGCATCGAGGAGCGTGGCCATAAGTGCTGTAGGACAGCGCCCGAGGCGTATCCCGCTGCGGTAGAACTTCTTGAAGATCTAGTTGACTACCTGCCGGCGCGATACCCGTCGCTGTACAAGCGGACGGACGTCGGGATTGACAACCTCTGGTCCGGCGAAAGCTTTGATATCGTAACGCGGCCGTTAGCAGAGGACCCGATGCAAATATCAGCCCGGCTAGTACAAGACGACCTAGCGATCATGATTGAGAAGCCGGATGGGCAGTATTATCTTCTAGCAGGGGCAGTCTTGCTGCCAGGATTTTGGCGACTGGAAGATAAGTACGGTATGGCGCTGCCGGAGATCCACACGTCCGGGGATGTACCGCAGTTCCGGGAGAAGCTAGAGAAGGGCATGTTAAACTTCTTCCGACGGCTGCGGCCAGATGAGATGGTGGCGCGTAACAATTACTTCCTGCAAGTGGACGACGATCTGGGATGGTCTTGGAGTATCGGGTCAGAAGACGCGCCAGAGGTGAGTTGGAACACAGCGGAGAAGAATCGCGCCGTCAAACACCATTATTTCCGCTCTGAAAGACAGACGCTGCGACGGCTGCCGCGGACAGGAGGCGTGGTATTCACAATCCGAACATATTTCCACCCGATCACAGAGATTGCCGAGGAGGATTACGTACCGGGGCGGTTGGCGAGCGCGGTAAGGAGCTGGGGGGATGATGTGAGCCGGTATAAGGGGAAGGAAAGGTACGGAGAAGTACTACTAGAGTACCTGGACAAGAAGCATGAGGAGCAGATAGCGAGGGGGTTGGACCTCAGTCGCGAAGATGAGGTTCGAGCGTATCCATACTAAGGTCTGGTTACCGTGAATGCCTTGGCTTTATTTTGTTTAAGCTAAGTATCTAACAATGAGAAAGAATTTGGATTTATCGTAATTAGTACCTAGGTCCTAGGCATACTTCCAAGTCAGGTTTGAATGTGCTTCAGAGTCTTGTCTTAAGTCTTAGTGTATATGAACAGTTCGTTTATAAGAATAACTCACCGAGTATATGCAATAATCGATTTCTCATAGAAATGACAGCATATCGGAACAACGCGGCCCCCCCTGCCGCTGTTACACAAACTGCAAGCTGCAGGTTGTCCTTTGCGCAGGTGGCTTCAACTAACGAATCTGAATCCACCATCCCGCTACTGTAGCTTCAACCGAGCTTCAACTACATACACTACAAACCCACCTCATACAACCATTAGGAGCATAACATCGAGCTCGAACTCGACAATAGCCATGTTCAATTGACCTGATATTTCCCTCCTATCGTATACGCCTAAATAGAGAAATAACTATAACCCACCCCGAATGGAGTCAGCACCGCCTCAGCAGGGCGTGCTGAGCTGGCGCCTCAGCTCGCATCCCATCACACTGCTAACCTTTCTCGCATTCCGCATCTGTAAGCCGGCGACCTTTTATACTCTTTACCTTGGATATATAGCGTAACAACACAGCGAGATAAAATAAAGCAAAGCTAACCTAAGGTTTTTCCCGCCCAGCGTCGCTCCTCGTATACCTCTTCGGCGTCATCTTCACGGATAACATGGTCCTCATCTTTATCATCACGATCCTGCTACTAGCTGCCGACTTCTACTACCTCAAGAACATCGCCGGTCGGCGGCTAGTCGGGCTGCGCTGGTGGAACGAGGTCGATCCCTCCACGGGCGACAGCCGCTGGGTCTTCGAGAGCAGCGATCCGGCGGTTCGCACTATCAACGCCACCGACAGTCGCTTCTTCTGGCTCGCCATCTACGCGCAACCCGTACTCTGGGTCGCTCTGGCTATCCTGGCTTTCGTGCGCCTTAAGTTTATGTGGTTACCCCTTGTTGGTATGTCTCTCGCGGCAGAATGATAGTGAAGAAGAAAGAAGAAAGAAGAAGAAAAAGAAAGCTGACAGCTAGCCACAAACAGCCATTGCGCTCTCCTTGACGATCACCAACTCCCTCGCCTTTTCGCGCTGCGACAAGTTCAGCCAAGCCTCCAATATTGCCGGCAGCGCTTTCTACTCGGGCAACATCGCAGGCAACCTCGCGAGCAATATGGTCGGCCGCTTCTTCACCTTTGGCCGTTCGTGATCCGCCATTCTACACATAACCCGAAGAGTCGAAGTTATTTTGAAGGGGAAAAGAAAGGGAAAGGCGTACTCAAATATCTTTGATACCGGTTTGAAGGGGCGACAGGTATTCTACAGGCATCTACTTATCATGGTGTATTTCTGTCTATTTTTTATAGCAAACTTCGGGACAAGAGCCTGTTGTAATACTATGATATCTATGACCTAATGAAATTTGCGAATTTAGCGATGTCTGCAAAGAATTGTACAGGTACTTTATTGTCTATTAAGATTACGTAGGACTGCTATAGACCATGCAGACGTTAACTCCCGCCTCCCACGGTTGCAGTCAAGAGGAAAATACAGGAGGTTAACCAAGTTACCACTGTTTTATTGAGGATCCCATCGTATTAATTATATTAACATCTGCACCGCTGCGTCTACTCATCATGTCGCACAAGTGTAACCACTGCTCAAAAGGAGGCTAATCACGTGGAAATATATACGACCTCACATCCAAAGCTAACCTACCTATTCATGTCCCCAATTACTATCATATAAACAGTTAGATAATCCAATAGACTCGTATATCTATATATACAGGCTATCTGTTAGCTCACCATCTATCGTAACCCTCACAGAACAGACAAATTACGTCGTTCCTCAGTTCAGTCCCCCACGAAAAGCCCTTCCCTTCCCTCCCCTTCCCTTCTACTTGCTACACGGGGTATATGGGAGTAACGAAAGTATGAAGTCATATATACGCGTAAGGGGGTAATTCTTCTTGCTCTTGCTCTTGCTCTTGCTCTTGCTCTTGCACCTATGTATTCTCACATCCACCACATACACATAAAATTAGCATGATATAAAACCCATCAGAACTCCAACACCACTTGAAAAACATCAGGGGTTCTTCAGAACATCACTACGCTATTGCTGTTTTGCCGCTGTCACGGTTGCTGCGCCGCGCGGCTACTCCGTCCCGCGTCCTCGATCGCCGCGTCTAGGTGTCGCTCCTCTTCCTCCAGCCTTCGGATCTCTTCTTCCGTCATACCTTCCTCGATCAGATGCGCGTAGCGGGACTGGAACGGAGGTGTTGTCGTACTGGGACGGCCGGCGGATGCTAGGTCTGACTGGCTATTCGTAGCAAATGCCGCTCCTGGAGGCAATGGCGGGGAGGGCGCACGGTCCGAGTAGGGCGCATAAGACGCGTCGTCGGGACGCACCATGCTGTCGCGTTGGTCGTGTAAGCCTCTGCTATGATCAGGCGGGAATGTTGAGTGCGGTGACGATTCCGACATGTTGGCCACCTCCTTATCCGCGATCATGGCGTGCGAGCCCGAGGCCGCCGTGTAATCCGTGCCACCGACGCGCTCGCCGCTATTACGGCGCCGTAGACAAAAGAACCATACCAAGACCACGACAATAATGATAACTGCGACGGCACAGCCCACCGCGATACCTACAATAGCGCCGGTACTTAACCCTCGGTTACCAGGAGACCCCTCCGAAGCCTGTTGAGCAGACGTTTCGGCGGCGGGCGTTGCCGTAACCGTCGATATCCCGGAACTTTCTGGATCACTCGAAGACCCCTCGATATCCTCCTGAAACGCCGGACTTGACTCCTTTCCGGTATTCTTAATAAGACGGCTGGCCTCGCTATATCCTTCGCTATAAGTAACGGCAAGGACAGGGCTGTAACTGCTACCACTAGATGTAGTATTCTCCCACTGAATCTCGTAGTATAAAGGCTGCATAAGGTTATCGCCGTACGTAAGCGTAAGATCGCCCGTAAGTATAAGAGTCAAGCTTTCATTAGTTGCTGTTTCATTTTATTAGTACTGCGCAGTTTAAGCAAGACAAATATTATAGCATACCCGGGAAAGAGCTTGGTGGAAGCTGGTCTTGTCTTTCTGCTACTAACTGACCGTCCAAGAGAGAGTCCACCGTAGTACTTGTCTGGCTTGTGTCGCTCATCTCTCCCATCGCAACGGTAATCTTATCCTTATACCGCTTTAGGTAGATAGCACTAACGTTCAACTCGCTGATACCTTGTCCCTTACTGAAATATATGATCTGATCCGTCTCTTGCGGCTTATAAATGGCGGGCGTCGGAAAATTCTGCACCTGAATTACTGAGTTCGGAGAAGATTCTATCATCGCTGTTCCCGCCTCGCCGGTCGAGCCCGGCGTAGCTCCGCCGGTAGTACGGGAGGCATTGTCTTCCGCTCCCACCAACCCTACTAAAGAGGCCAGGATCCCGAATCTCGAGGCATCGAGCCGCATCGTCGTGTGAGCAAATATTGGGATATCGTTGTCATAAAACTCCCAGAAGCCCAGATATCCAAAACTCAGCGCATATCCAACATCAAGGGTATCTCAACCAAGTGCGCTCGCTTTCGTATGTGTGAATGTTCGTTGCACCAATGACACAGCCGGAAACTTGGTTGATAGCACCGAGCAAGATCCAGATCAGAGAAACGATAGGAAAGATGAGAAAATCGTCCGGGCGTGAGAGGAAGGAAAGGAAAGTAAGAAGAGCAGGGGGGCCTGTCAGCTCTCAGCTCTGCCCGCTAGGGAATGGATGAAGATGTGCGGGTCCGGGTCTACTGTTACAAGTGCACCAACCATGTTCAGCATGCAGTAAGCCAATGGACACCAGACTGCGCCTCTAAAACCAACTAGTTCATAGGATGGCTGGATGGATGGCACCATCAGTTACGAGCCTATAGAGATTAACGCCATCCCACGAGATCTCCGTGCTTTTTTACATACGCAGGACGCTTCTACGTGTGTAGATATTGCAAGACACACGTACATAGTACGGTATATGGCCGGCTACTACAGCCTGCCTTATGGGGCGGCACCCCGGTTTTGCCCAGCCCGCTAGGCTATTTCTTAGGAATGCCCCAAGTAATCATGCCAATGCCCTAAAACCACAGCTTGAGCATGCTAAATACGACCGAATTCGTGGATAAAGCTGAAGACTTTGTGCCCTACTCGGTGAGCCTTAGGGAGCCATGATAAGCAGGTCTTAGCTGATGATGCTACACGATGCCATGACGCGTGCCTATTCTCGGCCAAATTCCGCGATGGCGGATGATAATATACCCTCAGATAGATAGTTGACCTTGGGGGTAATGCATAAAGGCCGTCGTATCAAGGTGCCGCGTATACTAGACTTGTATGAATACGCCTAATGCTGTAGTAGGCAAGTAGGGTGAGCATTGCAGAAGGGTCATACCACCTCGAAACAAGGACGTTTACAGTACATTAAACAAAATCCAATGGGCAATTCCTGATGCTCTGCGGTGAAGGAATAGAGCGGCTAGGGAAATGGGACCTTTTTGGAGATCGCGGGATCCGCACCCCGAACTAACATGATTTTCATGATTGGTTCAGCCCTTGCTGACAGCGTTACCCGTCTGACGACAAGGGTCCATTAAGGTGAAGGGGTCTAGATCCTTTGAGACTAGGGTTAAAATTCGAGGCAAGTGTCTAGTGTAGGTATGTAAGTAGCCAACGTATTGAAAAATGACCTTCAACGTAGCTGAAAAAGATTAAAACAAACGATGACATCGTATTTCATAGATTGATATTTCGACTTAGTTGAACGGCTTTCTTTTACCGACCCGGGATATCTCGTCATCGAAGGTAAGACGTAAGACGTAAGTATCTTCTTCGCTTCCGTTCAGAAACAAAATTCGGTCTCAATTTAATAAAGATGAACTTTGCACAGTCAGACGAAAACCGGGGCTGAGCCAGAAATAACAAAGATCAGACTGCGGCTGATCAGACCCTCGGCTAGGTTTAGCGTCTTTTAGCGCTTGGACGCCTCGACGCCTCGACACGGGGTGTAACGTATCGCAGCAACACCGTTAGTCCCCCTTTGTGGAGCAAATGCAGCCTATTACTTAAGCCATCAGTGCAAAAATAGCAATGCCGTCTACGTACTTACAGCCCCGCCGTTACCCATTAGGGAATCAATATTGTCCCTAAAGGCCTGATATCCCACATTCTTTCGATAACTTCCTGACCATTTAGGCTTTTCACGTCTCACTACATATCTCACTACATATGCCATCAATATTAAAACCATGTGGTAGCCAAACGCCACCAACCCTTGTGCAACAGAATAAAAACGCCAAGTTTAAGCCGCGAAGAACCTCATCTTCTTTTTCCGATCCTCCGTTCGCATGTGCAAGCAGGAGTATATCGGATAACTCTAGTAGTAATATAGCATCACCTAACGACATATATATCTCTATAAATATCCTACTTGACATTATACAACTATGTTAGGTACCTACCTATACCAATAATATTTTACCAGGCAAGATACGGCAACTATATGTAATACTTACCTACCTAACGTACGTGATGCTGCATTTAAATTTACCTGTTACACTGTGTTACGTCCACACTTGATTACATCTCCAGCATAAGTACAAATGTGAGTTAGCCTGTACGTTCAAGCTAAAATGAGCTCTTGGGTCAGCACGGTTTAACCACCCAACGACTTTCGTGGCCAAGTCTAAACTAAGAAATACATGCTCGTAAACTACCTACATATGTAGAGTCCGGTGCGAATACAATGCAAGACTTAATCATTGACGGTAACTAACTGCTTACCTACTTGAATAATTCAAACGAGAACATTATGATTGCAAACCAAATAACTAGCAAAGATCAACACTACGATAAGCAAGAAATACGTAATAGGTAGTTGAAGTATTTGTAGCTCGGAGTACGCGAGTTTACAATATCTAATAAGGCAATGACGATCATAAATAAACATCATGATGTTATCCAAGAGTAACTTGCGTTCTGGAAAGGTAAAAGAAACGGCACGGTAGAAGACAATCCCGGGCTTCCTTTAGGATCTACATAAAAACAGGCACGGCAGGATCGATAACCAGCTTTACCGTCGTGCGTAGACAAGTCTTATTAATAGCATGAGACATATGGATTACCAGATTCAGAAATAATTCGAGGAGGATACGGGAGTGAAAGTTACATACCTAGGTGTGTTCTAAGAAAACGCTCTTCTCTTTCGTTACGCTATACATGTGACTATTGCCCAAGGTAACTGATACTACGTTCTCTCCGATACCAACAATTGACAAGCCAGACAAGAGATTCGGTCTTCTATATAACTAACTGATAAATTTCAAAATAAATCAACTTGATAAAATATGTATAAGCTTTTACCATTTAGTCTTGGTATGTGGTTACTGACCGAAGCTTGTTACCAATTGACTGTCTAGGTAGGTAGTTACATATAAGTCAACTGAAAACCTAATCGAGTTATCACAAATCTCAAAACAACCCTCAATATAATAATCCTATTACTACGAGCATAGCAACTACCACTTTAGTATCCGAATTGATGATCTTAGGGTTCTCACAAGTAAAGAAAACATCAACGTCGGAGTAGACGGTTATCTGCATAGCCAAGAAATCATAGCAATAATACATCACTCACAGCTCTGATACTAGTTACCTTAGGTACTAGGTACACTAATGTCCATAACTTTACGATATATCATTAATCAACATACTACATTCGATATGATATGACTTATCTCATCAAGCAGACAACCCTCGTCTCACTCAGTGTAGCACAGTCCAGTTCAATTCAGTTTCATCCCAGAGCGAAGCACTCTCCCTCCCATCCATCCATCCATCCCATGGTCTGGACGTCGCCGTTTAAAATACCAACCAACCAACTAACTAACTACCTAGGTACCTACAACCCTAAATATGTAGCCCAAACCCTCAAAGGCGGCCCGGATCTCTCTACCGAAGGTAAAAGAACGACGAGACCTGTTAAAACGCTAAAGAACGCCGATGGATGTGCCCCAAGTGTGTATGCCACTGCAGCCCAAGACAGACAAGATAAGACAAGACAAGACAGGCAATTTTAAGCGTCGGGTACGTTAGGTAGGTACGTATGGCAATTTCCCTACAGGCACGTAATGCTAGACAGACTACGCGAAAGTCATCGAGATTTCCTTCTCCTTACCAAAGTCGTCGTCGTCGTCGGCCCAGGGATCCGCCAACGCTATATTTGGCGTCGTCTGCGCCGTCTTGATCTCTGGCCGTGGCGGAGATAGCGCAACATCGCGGTGTTCTGTGAACGCCGTGTCGAAAGTCATTTCGATTTCCTCTTCTGGCGGTGGCATGCCGAAGCCTAGAGCTCGGGAGGGGGGTAATGTTGGTGTGCGTTCCTGAGATGCTCTGTAGTCGAAGGAGGGGCTGTTGTAAATGCCCTCGTAGCTCTTTGTCTCGCGCAGGGTATCTCTTGGGCTGTTCGTTGATGAAGACGGCGAGAAATCGAGCTTCATCGGTGGTAAAGTAGACTTCAACTCTTTGACCTGTATTTCCTCATCTTTCGCGAGTTCCGCCCTGATCGCATCGACATCGAATAAGACGCCCTGGTTATTACTTTCCTTATTGTCCGTTTTGGATGCATCTAACCCCTTATTACTATCCTCGTAAACTTCCCACTCTTGTCGAGAAGTCCTCTTTTTGCGGCCGAAAATACCCCAGCCGCCCTTTTTTGAGGACCCTTCCTTTTCTAATTCCTTACGAGCTTCCTCGATCTCGTTGATCAGCTCCCGCTGTCGTTCTCTATGCCGCTCCGGATCCGGATCCTCAATCTCGCCAAACTCGTCGCTTTCAACGAGCCAGCCACATTCTCTTAGGAGCCTAGGCATCGCTGTTCGATATTCCATATGACCGACGACAAATTCCGTACAGTCGAAGTTTTCTACACCGGGTACCCCGTCAACGGAGGCTAGGCCTGCTATTCGGCGGATGCCACCGTTCGTCAGGCGGAAGAGGTAGCCCAGGATCCAGTCGGTTCTGTTGTACCCGTTTACAAACCTGCCAGCCACAACGGTACGAGCCTTGATGAATTCTTCCTTCTTCACAACGATGGGCGAGCCAAAAATATACACATTCTGGACTAGACCATAGGCGCCTTTTCGAGCAAGTTCTAAGAGACAGGCGAAGATGACGCGGGAGCCGAGAGAGTAACCGACCAACGTAATAGGCCGAGTACCCAGATTCCTGTCAATTAGGGAGTCCGCAAGGATAAGTCCACTAGCCCATGCACGGTCTAGAGAAACAGCCCACGGATTATCAATCAAATATGTCAATTTTGATAGAACCACTGGTAACTGTAGGGCAGCCATTAAACCAATTAAGATAGTGCTTCCGAGCACTTGTTGCAACCCTTGAGTCAGGGCCTGTACATGTTAACCTGTGCTCTCTCTATTCGTGTTAACGGGGAAATCGCTTACCTCTGTTGCTAGGATATTAATAGTGTCACCCATACTAGTCAACATTTCAGGCTCCCACAGAATCGAGTATATGTCTCCCATTACTGGGTCGACAGTGCTAAAAGGTAGACGGACGTCATCGATCTTGCTAGTCATCCACCCAGAGATGGTTACAATGAGATTAACGCGCTTGTTGTTGTGCAGTGGCCGATATTCAAATGTCTTCACGGCCCCTGTTCGTCGGTTTGCGGCCTTGCCACCCATAAAACTTCCAGAGGCTGCGGCGCCAGACGTGATAATGGCGGCTCCTCCCGCCCCTGCCAAAAAGGAGCTAGTACCACCAACTCCGATAGTCGTAAAACCAGCAGCAAGGCCGGCGCCGATAAGAGGTGCTAGAAGTCCAGCGGAGAGACCGATGACTAGACCACCTCCAACGGTGGCTAAGCCCATCATGACGTATCGCCTCTTGAGCGCCAGTTTCCTCCTATTTTCAAGATGCTCTCCTTCATTCCAATTTTCCTTTTCGGCCTGCTGTTGCATCTCCAAAGCATCAGTGACGCGCTTCTCGAATCTGCAGATGTCTATCCAAGGGACGTCCAAGTCTTTGCCGACCCTTTCGAGTAGCACTCGGGACCGAGCATCGTAAATTGAATCGGCAATCAGTACGAGGAAGAGATCACAGAGGACGGTCCACCGCAAATCGATATCAATCTTATCAGTGCTCGGCAACTGTGAAGGTGTCCTCACTTCTGGCATTTCGTCACCATCGTGACTTTCGTATGGTGGAGGTGGCTCCGCAACTACTTCTCCCGAGGGAGGTGTAGAAATGGATGACCGCGTGCTTTTCGACGACGTCTTCGGGGTCGACGGTGTTTTCTCAGCCATTGGATTCTTGACTCTCGAGTTCTTCATGAGGGCCGATGTGAGGTCGTTAGGCATTACTCCATGCTCGGCTAACTGCTCTATCATCACTTGTTCGGCAGGACTTATTTCCATATGCGCATATAGTCGGACCATAATCTTTTGAGACCACATTCTCATTGCTTCGGCCGCCACCTGGACCTCCTTCTTGATCTTCTTCAATCGTTCGACGCTCTCGGCCTCCTTGACCATCTCAGAGAGTTCTAGACGAGTAACTCCAACGTAGGCTATCCTTTGTCCCTCTGTCAACAGATCCTTAGTAGCCTGCAGCTGAGAGACGGCATCTCGCTGCTCTTCGTCCATCTCCGTCACGCTTGTACTCTTAGGGTCTTTAAAGAGATATCTTGTGTTGTCATCCATACTCGTTTCCGACTCCGCGTCCTCGTCATCTAATACTCTCGTATACCCTTTACCGGCCCCACCAAGACTCCCGTAGCCATAATTATCATCCTCTTCAGGGTTGTGTTCTTTAGCTACAAGTTTATTATCGTCGTCGTAAATATCATATGGTGCATATGCTGGCATCGCCTGCCAGCCTTCGTCGTCATCGGCTTTCTTTTCTTCGTGGTGTCCGGTCAATTGCTGGTGAGAGAATTCGGAAACGTCATGGTTCGTGCTCGCTAAACTGACGTCTCGACTATGGTCGATGCGTGGAACTGTTTTGACCTCATCCGCGTGCTTATCAGCCTCGATCTGCTTGAACGTCGGCCCTGAGATTGCTTGCACCTCTTTGCTTGATGTATTTTTGCGCTTGGAGTTTTGCGGCAGGTCTAGATTCTCGTAGGAATCTGGACCGTCCTTTGGCTCCTCTTTTAATGTACTCGTTTCCCTGAATTCGGTTTGCGTAGGTACGGGCGTCTTGGCTTCGTCGGCATCTTTTGACTTGGCCTGAGGTGCAGGCTCTGGCGTTGGGTTAGAGGGCGCATCTTGGAAGTCGTCGTTATCACTATTATCAGTAGAGGCGCCGTCTACTTTAGTGCCGTTTTTAGGAGGTTTCAAGGTGTTATCTGTTGCTTCCTTTGTAATCCCTTTTGCTGTTTTTGCACTGGTTGTATTTTGGGGGGTTTCGGTTTCCTGTGAGGGTTCTACCTCTTTCGTGACAATCTCTTTCGTGGCCACGTTAGAGCTGTTCCCCGTCTCACCAATTGGTCGGCTTTTGGTCCCATCTTGCTCCGTCTCTTTGGGGCTTACATATTTCCTAATAGGTAGGCCAAAATCATCAAATTCCTGGGCTCCTCCTATAGGCGCCATGGGACCGTCTTTTGCGCATGTATTTTATCGGTGTAGATACCGTATATCTGTTTTGGGCACTCCTATCTTGATCCGTTGCAGTAGAATTCACATTCCCCACGGTAATAAGGCGGAGTGTGGTTCGACGGAAGTCGTCAGAATTGCGAATCGATACGGATTAGGATCTCCGAACTTTGGTTCAAACCCTTGTAAGTCAAAGCTCGGAAGCGAGAAGCGATGGTTCTCGACCACGCGCTAATAACTTGAAGTAAAGTGCTTAACTTGGACGAGGTGTTATATGAGACCGTTATGGTAAAATTATGCAGGAATTTTATAGGATATGGCACATTTGAAATAATTTTAATAATAATATTTATGGATTGGAATGCGCGGATGGTTCTTAGCTGCTGTAGGTTGAAAGTCAATAGTCAACAATTTTAGGCCCATGCAACATGCAATGAATACACGGATACCCGGCTTAGGCTAGCTCCCATAGTACCCAGAAAGGGCCCGGTTTGGTGTCACATGAGGCTGAGCGTGGCCTAACTTACGTGTAAACCCCGTAAAAGGGCCCCCCACTATCGGCTCAGGACGGAACATGCATAAGACCCGTCGAGATGCAGTTACAATTTGTAACTTACAAATTACATACATATAATTCAAGGTACCTCATGCTGCTCATGCTACATGTAGGGTACGCCTTGAATATTCAAATGTCATAAGTTTTTATTTTTTATTTTTTTTATGTAAGTATATCACGTCAACTTGATAATGGATCTATGATGTCCGGACGATATTTCATATGTAAAAGTAAATTTAAAATTGTGGTATCAGACGCTAGTAAAATACACAATGTAGAGAGTGCAGCATCATCCTCATAACTGCACGCCGAGAAACCACCTGCTATATGCTATGTAGGTCTGTTTGGATGGATGACTTCCAGCTCTTAATCTTCTGCCTCTACTACATGCGCCTCACCATTGCCGGACGCAGTGGTTGCTTCATCGTTCGTAGAAACACTTTTGCTCTTGTGCTTTCGTATACGTTTTCGCTTTGGTGCTTCTGTCTGATCTGCCTCTGCTACGACTGCTTCCTCGGCCTTTGGTTCTTTCGAATGTTGCTTATCCGGGTTTCCGGTAGGCTTCGATTTCTTCTTCTTGACGGCTAAAGGGTTAGGTTCCTTACGACCCTGAGCCTTCTTTTTCTTCTTTTCGGATTTGTCCGCCTCTGCTGATCTTGGCGCAGCTCGTTTCGCATCTTCCTCTTCATCACTATCGTCGTCCTCCCTCTTCCTTTTGCTAGTAGGCGTCTTGAGCTCCGCCCTGAACTTGCTCTTTTCCTCTTTAGATCTGATCTTCACGCTGACTGTTGCCATTGGCTCCATAATCATAACAGATCTCCTAATGAATACCATAGGCGTTCCTGCCACCTGTCGTAGCTTTGCCCTGACATTCTCGTCGTTGATAGCGCAGACGTAGCGGTGCTTGTTCACTCCATTGTTTTTTGGATCGACAACGGATTGTAGGCACTCAAGTGTGCTCAGTGGTTCTGGGTACTCGTCGGGATGGTGGCCGCATCGTCGTCGCTCGAAATGATTCTTTGCTTGTTCTATGGCTGCTTCCACACCTGGTTCTGATTTCCGTCCGTAGAGATGTCGCATTGAACATTGAGTAATCACTACCCAATGCTAGTTAGTAGAGAAGCAAAACCAAGTGATAGGGATATAATATAAGAACATACGAGGTTTGACTTCACCGTGTAGAGTATCTTCTAATCGGCGTATCACATCCATCTTGCATTTGTTTGCTTCTGCAATAAAGTCGGCGTCTATAATGACTTGATACGGTACTCGAAACCCGAAGCTCATGGAGAATTGCTCCATGAGCTTCCGATATTGCTTCGATCGTTTGGCTCGAGGCATTTTGCTTAATTAAGAGACGGTAGATTTGGTGTATGAGATCGCGAACATTTCGATTTCAAAATTATTGGACTCGAATTCTGCATCCCAGATACAGATAACGATAAGACTTTTAGCATTCTTATCACTAACTTTAAATTGTGGATAACATCTAAGAGGTACAAGTACCAAGACACCCCGCTATAAAGATATGTCCTAGTTTCCATCAACTGATCTGCTAATAAACCACCAACGCCCGTGTTGATACCGAAAAACCAACCTCATCTAGTATATGTAAATGATCTATAATCCCATATCTAATCTTCCAAGTGACACAAAGACCAAACAACGTCGATACCACCCCGGCGCTTCGTATGGCTGGAGATAGTTAAAGTTAACCCCAACGGTAATAGGACCATATCTAGGGGTAGTATGTCTTGTCGATGGGTGTCTTAGCTATATTATATATTAGGTGTGTTATGATGCCGTGTTCCGCTGACACAATGCTGCTACAACGCTAATATCATCAGGTTTTCCTGCGCCTATTAGTACATGTATAGCCTAGTAAAAGCGGTTGATACTCATGCTACACTCACCTCCTTCACTAGCCAACCCTTCCTCGATAGCATGTTCCATGAAGGGACTTTCTGCAAATGGGTCTAATGCAATTTCCTTTGCAGCCTTAACGAGTTCTTGGGCGACGAATGTCATGCCGCCGCCTGCGCCGTCTTTACGGGGGCCGCTAGCTTGGCCCCCTTCTCCCGCCTCCCAGCGCTTGACGCTCTGAGACACATTTTCGACAATTTCATGTGACCATAAATTATCAATAACGCCGTCTGTCATAGCTAATACGACGTCGCCTTCAAGAATCTCCACCATATCTACAACGGCGTTTTTGCTTGGAGTGTCTGGACTATTAGTTCCGAGCTGTCTCGGGCAGTCGAACCAGTGCCATTGTTCTGTCGATTTGTATACCATTTCCCGACTTTTCGGCCGTACTACCATGACTTGTGAATCGCCAAGATTTGTTACATATAAAAGTGGTGATACGGAAGATGCTGAGTTACCGCTGTCAGCCTTGTAGAAGAGCTGAGCCCCGGTCGCCGTGGTGGTTCCTAAGCAATCATTGGGCCCTGAAGTGGCTTCGATTGTCCGCTCGTATGCCTGCTGCAGGTAATGCATAGGGTCTGGGCGGTATGGTTGGTTAGGGGATCGCGGCCTTGCGATATCTTCTTCTATCGCCGCCACCCAGAAGTGTAATATCAACCTCGACCATAAGCTGTAACCATTGTTAATTGCGGACTGCCATTTATAAGGCTTAGATGACCGTGGGATAAGTACCCTGCATGGCCTCTCGGCCGAGCTGACCAGGCGCCAACCCCATCGTTGGCGCAAATGAAGTATTCACCAGCATAAACCGCATCATCACCGTTTGTCCATCCGCGGATGACCTCGCCATCTACAAAGGCTCGCTTATCACGACTCTGGTGATGAGTACTAAGGGGGTCCGAAAATGAGCCCGACGGAGGTGATAGGAACGGTGGGGGAAACGGCCTCGGAGCGCGTTTTGCGAATAGCGCAAGCCCGGTCTCGAAGCGAAAAGGTAAGTTGAACTCGGAGTTAGGAAGAGGCGTCGTGATGCTACCGGATGTTTCGGTGGTTGTGGAATAATGGCTTTTAACGCCCGCAGCATGTTGGGGACGCCGAGGCCATCGTGCTAATCGGACAGAAGACAATGTCCGTCGCGTCGGACCAGGATAAGAGGCCAACAAAAAAGAGGGAGCCAACCTTCTCATGCCCACGAACGAGGTCTAGCTTTAGACCTTGAGGGCGCTTAGGTTGGCAGCCAAAAGTGTGACTTGATTGATAGATATGATAGATATAACGTATTAACACGCGCTATTCTATTAAACGTCGACGACGTCTTGATAAGGAACCTTAGTTTAGCTTTGCTTATCGCAAAGTGCCATTCTGGGTTAATTGACTGCAGAGTTGCTTTTTTGCGCGAGGATTCCATTAGTACCCAAGGTAATAAAATCCGGGAGTTTGTGACCCGGTATATCGAGTCGTCACATTTCTTATCTCTTATTAGGATTATGATGACATCACTTTCGATTACGCGAAAGATGAACTTATTGCGTTCATTAACTATCTCATATTGGAATTACTTACGGATGTAGTCCTTGGACTGGATCGAAGCGCCGTCTTGACATGGCTTGAGGTGCGAAGGCATTAAATATTTAAAATATTTAATGAAATAAATGGAGTATTGAATATGTTCAAATTGATATTTCGCATCTGTTATGCCTACCTAACCTAGGTACGTACATATAATATGGCTTATTCGCTATGTATGTACAAGCCTGGCTTTGCATCCATAATCTTGGCAGATGGAGGGGTAGAAACTGCAGATCTTCGTTCAATAAACCCGATAGATTAGGTAACTAGGTAGCGATCATGGTTTGATCTTTGGCCCAGTTCCGACAAGTGTTTCTAATTTGTGACCGTAAAGAATAGTAGTGTAAAGTGCTCGAGGCAGTGATTTACATGGTAGAATAGAAACGTTAGATTGTTTTGAAGGAATTCAATTTCCTTTATGGATTAATTTTAATTTCAAGAGATAATTATTTAATTTGACAGCTCGTTAACTCTGATGGTTTCTAACCACAACTTCAATTCAACTTCTCTGAAATACCCAATAATCAATTTACATGTATTTATCGTCTATCAGTATTAGATGTTTGCTTTGCTTCTAGACCTTTGGAGTTTTTGCACTAGAGTTTAGTCCTGCTTCTAGCAAATGCACCGGCCAGTAACTATGACGTAGAAATTTGTTCTAATGGAAATTAGTGCGCCTGTCAGATAGTCTTGACGTTGTATTGTTACTTGTACCACTTGCTTATCACTATTCCTTTCATGCATCTGTCAAGCCGTTGGCTCATCATATTTAAAATTTCCTGGTTCATGAAAGGAAAGGATCGAGAAGGGTTGCTCTAAAAACGCGCGTCATCAGTGGCTTAGGTATTTGAGGCCGCTCGCCTACATAGTAATTAACGAATAAATACGAATGAATACCTGGGCGACGATGCTGTGCCCACCACTCTACGCCGGGGAAATGGACGCCCACACAAGCCAGATCTCGGCGGTCGAAACAGGCCGACGGAACTTGGGGGCCCCTATGATCTGTCGCTAGGGTGTCTGGATTGCAAGATGCAAAGCGGTTAGCCGTACGCGGTATTTCGGCGGCGCAGTGCGATTTCGACAGCATAGCTTGAGCCTGCTCAAAGCTTCCCTATATTGTACGTCCGCGGATTGAGAGTCATATACTTGCATGTCAGGATTTCACCTTGTGGAGCGAAGGCTGAGTGTCTTGACTGGATGAGCGGGGAGAAGGCTGGTAGGTAACGAAGCGCTTGCTTGTCAGCTGCTGTACCCAAGGCACGTTTCGTGACTGGCTCTGTCTTGCAAAGTCGAACCGCTGCGATACAACTTAGGCGCGTGCGGATCCTAAATAGGCCAAGGCTATGGGTTTTCTCCTGCTTTTATGCCACGTCAGGTCCACCGAGACACGCATAGCCCATCCTTGGGTTAACTAAGCTTTGGGTCCGAAAAATAAGGAAAATATAGAGGCTGGTCATACGCATCCACATAGGGAAGTATCCGTCATGCCGTCTCACCCGACGCCCCTTTTCGTCCAATCGTTTTCGTCGGTAGGGACCGTGGTAGCGTGGTTCCTTTAAAACTCGCTTACTACTTGTTAAAGGTTCTGGCTAACGACACCAAGCTATGCTATGATGGAATTCAAGGATGTCTCTTACATATTGTATGATCTTAGTGATCTCAAGCTCTAAATTAGGTTAATCTTCTTAAACGTAGGACCCGGCATTCATCTCAGAAACAGGGGCGTTAGGTCGGCCATCGTCAGCAATTATTGTTAGCAAGCTGCTTGCTGCAAACTGGCGGATTGATCTACACATCCATGTCTAGCGTACATACATGTATGTATGTGTATGCAGGTATGTACAATACACTATAGTACAACCCCAAGGGACGTATTTACGTATGTATGCATATACGCTGACGCCTTGCAAGTTATAATAATCTATGGTAACTTCACAGTACCTAGCTGGCAGGCTAAGCTATATTTGTAGTTACTAGAACACGACACGGTATCTCCGAACTAGAGCGAGAGCGAGAGTACCCATTAAAATGAAGTTACTATTACCAGTTGCCAGCCATCGTTAATGAGTACAGTCTTTTCGGACTGACGTAGGTATGCCCCCTGCTCTGTCATCCTTTTTTTTGTTCATCAACTTTTTTTCCCCTTCCATGTTAACATACCACCTTATTATTGTGTATGTACCTAGATAGATACGAACCTACCTGATGTAGCCTGTTTCTATCCTTTAGTTGTGAACTCGCCCGATCCGTCTACATATTCGTTTGCATCTTGTTGTCTAAAGCAATTTTTAATCAAAAACAGTTCTATTGCCGTTCATCAAATTCTGAAGACCAAAGATCGAAAGACGAACGCTTAGCTCCAAATATAGGATCTAGACAAGCGCGCATACACTATCGACTCTTGCTAGGATAATTGATAATTATATCAAATTGTCCGGCGCTTCCGTATTTCGGGAACGTCTCGGTAGACAGCAGTTGGCAACTTATACTAACTCACAGGCTCCTTCAATAAAGCTTCATAATTACATTTGAGCTTGAATTTGCTTTTCTCTGCACTGGAAAAGAGATAGAGCTTATCTGGAGAAGCATTATAGTTGAAAGACAAGGCCGGGCCGCCTGATCTTTGTTGCAGGATAACGACTCGTACATCATATACGGGGATCCGAGACTGTACCGTTCCCTCGCATTCCACAAATTCGTATCGCGTGGAGACACTTAAGAACCCGAGCTACAAAACCAGCGTTCCCGCCCACCTATTACGAGACAGTTTGGAATTCGACTATTTTTTGGGTTTTTGGTCATTTGCATCTGCGACTATAATCTGGATTTATTTTTTCCCTTACAGCTTTTCGATCTACGCGCGACAGACCGTGATACATAACACATAAGTACCTTGAATAGCATCCTACTTCTTAATCCCGATAAACCGACTCGGCACTAAATCGACTTTATCCTCCGACTCGTCCCTTGTGGACCACCCTTGTCCTTCGTCTCTAGGTAGTCGAAAGAGAGAACAAACGTTTAAAGCCAGCTCATCTGATGGAATAGGATTTTGTCGGGCTATTCCATTTGCTTTGGAAGCTTTTGGGTTTGTTTAGCTGAGGATTAAGATGGCTCGGAATCGCGGTTAGTATATTCTCTCCTTTTTTTCTTCTTCTATCTCTCTTGTTCCTTTTCTTTTCTTTTCTTTTGATCAGATCCAGATACTACTTCTCATATCCTCCAAGTTGCATTGTGAGGCACCATCCACCCATCTATCATACATCATACCTTGCACAAGCATATCTATGTTAAACACTCGTACATGTACACCATGTATGACGCCTATTCCCACACCCTCATACCCTCATACATACATTCGACAAGTCGTCGATATATTAGTTAGTGGGCATAGATCCGAGTGTCAATCGTCACATTCCATTCCATGCCATGACAAAGGAAACACCATGTTTCTTGGATCCGGCTATCGCACACCGAAAGTTGGTGCCGTATTGCCGGTACAATAATTCACTTTTTTACTCGGCATGGTCTTGGGTCTATCCACTTGTCCACAAATTATCCCTACATACAGCTACGTACAAGCTGAGGCGTGGTTGTTGTAAATGCGATCAATCTTTAATCTTTTACGATTTAAAGTTGACCGTTGCGCACACGCTATTCTTCTTATATTATTACATATATTCTATTATATTCAATGCGCTTAACTTCGGAACCCCACCATATGCAATACATCTTTTCCTTAACCTATCATTATCTTTTTATTGTCCCACTATTTCCCTTTTCCCCTTCATAATCCATGCATTAAACATATTAAACCTATTAAACCCTATTTATGCATGTTCCTTTAATGCTAACTGGTCCCATCTAAACTTTAAGTGCTCTCTTTTATGTCCCAGTTCTCCGGCTCTCACCATTTCCAGCACAACGGTGACCCGAAAAACGTACATAGCTCCTCTCCCACACCTTCGTCGTCACCTCCGAACGACCAGGCCCCCACATCCAAGGGCAAGTTGAATTCGGCCCCTACCAACAAAAGCCATCATATCATCAACGTTGGTAGTTTCCGCACACGAACTCGAGCTCGCGCTGTTTCGACGCCTATTCCAGCATCTCAGGCCCGGGTTAACCATGACAGTTCCCCAATAGATATAACGCCCATATCAAGTGAGACGCATCGTAGAACTACAAGTCGAAGTTCCTCTAGGCCGTTGTCTATGGTGCAAACCTACCAACCGCCCCTCATGGATGTTAACGAAGATACGATTCCCGAACTCCAGCCTATCTTTACCTTTCTCAATAGTCATGCAAATAAGCTATACCAAGAGGGTTATTTTCTAAAACTCGACGATCAGAATACCCGTGAGTTCGCATTGTGGCCAATTGAACCCTTCAGGACTCTAACAGCTTTTAGAGGGGAGACCGAACCCCGATCGCACCTGGACGGAATGCTTTGCACAGTTGGTGGGGACCGTATTGTCCTTGTGGGATGCGGCTGAATTGGATGCTGCGGGGGAAGATGGGGAAGTTCTGCCAAAGTTCCTAAACTTGACGGATGCTTCTATTAAGATGGTATGAACACTGGCTAATCGAGAAGAAACATATACCAGACGATACTTTTTTCAAGATGGGATTGTGAGCTAACCCATACCTAGATCGAGTCCCTGCCTACAAGATCGAATGATGAGCAGCCATTGCAAAATATCCTCAGTATATCGACAGCAGGACGGAACCGTTATCTTTTACACTTTAACTCTCGGCATTCCCTCATACAATGGACTGCTGGTATTAGACTTGCCATGTTCGAGCATTCGACTCTCCAAGAAGCCTACACAGGGGCATTAATCGCGGGCAAGGGCAAGACATTGAACAATATTGGTGTCATTATGGAAAGAGCACGTACACCAATGGATCAATGGGTCAGAGTCCGATTTGGAGCTGGCGTGCCATGGAGACGCTGTTGGTGTGTTATTTCACCACCGGACGAGAAGGAATTTATAAAAGCCCAGAAGGAGCATAAGAAAAAGTCCCCATACGATCGACATACTCCGGTACTCAAGGGGGATATAAAATTTTATGACAGCAGGAAGGATGGGAAGAAGCACAAGAAAATGTTACCCATAGCAACAATCAGCGACGCCTATTCAGCGTATGCCCTGTATCCCCAAGCTAAGTCACTGATTGATGCTTCGACGCTGGTCAAGATCGAGGGAAATATCACTATTCACTCGGACCCGCCTACTGAGAGCGAGGGCTTCGTGTTTATTATGCCCGAAGTGCATCCGGCAGTCAGCGGCTTCGAGATGATGCTCAGATTCTTATTTCCTACCTGGGATACCTTCGGCCTCTATGGCCGCCCAGGGAGATTGGTTGCAAGCATCCTCGATTCGAGGTCCCTTATGTTTGCGATGCCGAAGCACAAGCGTTATGGCTACTTAGAATTATTGGATGTGTCGGGACTAATCTTGACTGAAGGTAGTTCAAAATGGAACGAACGAGAATGGAGAAAGAAGCTCAAAGAGCTAACCGGTACCCGCATGAATACCGCGGAGGATGAAGTAAGCTCGAGTTCCAGTTCGGGACAGACCAACGGCCATAGCAAGCGCCTTAGTTTTGGCCCCGCTGCTGGGGGCTCGTCGAAGCCTCGTGTTGGTTTTGCTGACGAAGCACCCGCTTCCGTTCGTACATCTCGATCTATGTCGCTCGGTAGTCGACCTCCCCCCAAAAATGACCCGGCCCCTCCTATGCCCGATCCTTCTGCAGTGATTGGAGAAAAGTCCGGCCATGCTCGTAATGCGTCGGACTCTAATATTTCTGGCCCTATGCCTCCTCAGCCGCCCTCCCACCAGGATAGCTCCTATGCGTCGAGCCCAGCCTCGTCCGCGAGAGGCCCCAACGCAGGACGCGCGTTCATTAACGATTTAGCAGCCACTCCGGAGCGTATAAGTTCTGACGAAGATCGAACAGACCTTCCGATCCGCGATTTCGAAGGAATGCGGAGGATGCCAACCCCGGAGCCGGTGTCCCAACCCCCCAGTTTCTCTCACGCACCCGGCCATGTTCCTACGACTCGTCCTTACCATTCACCCGAGATGCGTCGCGCTAATAGCCGATTATCCATGACTACCCTTGCGCAGCTTGCAACAGCTGGCGGGGTCCCTGTAGGCGAGGACCCACGAGACAATGATAGGAGCAACGAGGAGCGCCGCGGGCCACCTTCACGAGGACCCGACCAACGTGGTCAACAACTTCCGGTACATGCTCACGCTAACCACGCTGGGATATCTGCTAATACCGGATCTCGTGAAGCTTTAAGAGAAACTCAGCCACAGTCTTCTGGTCTGCCACCGCCTCAAATGGACCCCTCCGGAATGAGATCGAGATCGCCGCTAAACCAAACTATGGGTCCTCCACCCTCTGGCCCACGAGGTCCCAGCCCAGGTCCCAGCCCAGGTCCCGGTAACCGACCAAAAACACCCACCTCTCGACCCGGTACTGCGTCCGGTAATCGACCTCCACAACCTGGATATGGCCCGCCGCCAGGTAACATGCCTCCAGGTCAACGAGGACCACCTTATGGTATGGCCCCTCCCGGAAGAGGCCGCGGCCGTCCCCCACCGAATATGGCTCCAGGGCGAGGCCGGCCAAACTACCCACCCCAGGAGAACATGTACCGCGGCTATCCACCGCAAGGACCACCAGGTCCCGGCGGCCCTGATAGACCAAGATCTCCAGCTAACCGCCAGCCTTTACCACCGCTGAATACTTCTCCCCCTATTCACAGAAAACCCCTCCCAGCTCGTAGCGACAGTCTACAACACCGACATGTTCGCGGCGATGTAACACCACAGTCCCCATCTACAAGCAGTGGAAGCCTGACGGGCAATCGCATCGACGCGGCTGGACTAGGCCAGGTGCGTCCTCTTAATACGACACCTCGAGCCTCTCCAAATTTTGGCGTACATCGCGTCGATACCAGCAAAAGCCAATCGAGCAGCCGATATGATGACTCGGCATCTACCGACAGCCCCGACTACGCTAGTTCTCGCCCTTCGACGGATACGGCAACCTCAAGTGACCGGGAGCGGCCGCGAGCAGGTGTCCTCCGAACGGTTGGGAACACAGATGATTCTCCAGAACAAACTCATGGCGCGAATTTTGATATTCCGGACATAGATTTTGGTCCGACTTTAAATTATGGAAAAGTACCTGTCTCAAAGACACCAACACCCAGCAACCCGCAGCCGAGGTCATTCTCGCCCGAACCTCGCTCTAATTCGCCGGCTCACGTACCTCAACGTAGATCACCCGGAGCTGAGACGGGACACAATCGTCGAGAGTCAGAGGATACGTTGCGACGCAGCATGATCTGGCAACCTGCAACTCCTGGGTCTGGTCCCGCGGGACAGGGTTTGTCACCCGAAGAGTTCGTCCAGCAACGAGCAGTTGCTGCTGCAGTTACGCCGCAATATGTACACCAGAGGCACTCATCGGGAATAAGTCTTGGGGGTTTGAGAACGGGTACGCCAACGCCTCCATTAAACCGTAGTCAAGGCTCAGATCATGTTGGTACACACTCTCGAAATAATTCGCAAGATCTCTTGCAGCGCCCAAGCTCTCGGGGGCCAAATGAGCTACTCCAACGCCCCGGGTCCAGGGGTGCCGGTGCCGTTCTTGGCGGACAAGGTGTCAACGACTCGCATCTGTCAGCTCGGGAGCAAGAACATATAGCGCGTGTGACAGGTTCTCCTTTAATTAGCGTGGCAGGTAATAAGAATGCACCACAAACCAGTGGAGGTCTAGTGGGTGCAATCGAGGCAAGAGAGCGAGAAAAACAGCAAATGAAACAGGGTTGGAGTAGTCAGGCCGCACAATACGCAATCAATCAGCGTCAGCAGCAAGCTTTTCAACACTATCAACAACGTACACCATCGCCCAGTATGCCACCGCCTGCCGGAATGTACTCTAATATGGGTCGCGGCAATGTACCTCAGACTCCTAGCTATGGTGGCTATGGAGGCCCAAGTCCAATATCTCCCGAGCAGGAAGGCGGCTGGTCGTCGCCTGGGCCGGGATTTAGGTCTCCACCCCCTGGGAACTTTGATCCTCGCGTAAACCAACAGGGCATGCAACCATACGCCCAATTCTCACCACAGAGCCCACCGCCTGGCGGACGAGGACAAAATTCTCCTTACCACGGACACGTATTTTAATTGATATATGTTAGAACACTAAAACGCGCCGGATAACATTATCGGACGCGTTCACTAATTCCTTGGCTTGAAGATTTTTTACGTCGAAATATTTACAAGAATGGATGTTCTTCAAAGCGCAAGCGAGTACTCATCAGTATTTTTTCCTTTTACTCAATCGGGTTGGCAATTGACGAGTCACATGGTAGAAAGGCATAGCATAGTCCCCGGTGCTCATATGTTATTATGTTATGATGTAAATATTTTGGTCCTTTCGAACTCTTGTCTTATGTCCAAGAGGAGGTTATTGCATCTTCAGCATCAAATGGATTACTGAAGGTATCGGGGCGTGGTTATTCTTAGTGTATATGAATGGTACTTTAGAATATACGCTGTTACTAGTCGAGTTTTGACTTGATTGTGAATTCACTTTGGTCTCTTACTCTCGCATTATTATACTTGATAACTTGAAGGTTGGTATATTACGACGCTCGTAAACGTCACCTACCCGCAAACACATGACAAAAGTGTCATGGATCAAATTCTCGTTGACTACCTAATTCTTGGAAGTTATGAAGGAGCTTGGGAACGAATCTAGTGTTATTTTATTCGAGTATAATTGCATGACTTGTAATTCTGTAGGTTTTCGTGGGATAATAATTTTAAATAAAAGTCTTTATACTAAATACGTCCTTTAACGTAGTTATATGTATTTAGGCTACTTTTATATCTACTGAGGTCTCTCTTATTAACGATGCGTATAATGCTTAAAAAGTAACATGATAAGATCGTTCCAAACATGCCTTGCTATAACACCATCTATGCCTGTTTCCTTAGACCTTACGGGCAAGGAACGAGCGGAAAACAATATTGAAAAAGGTTAAAGACAGCAATGGATGAGACATGTGGAATAGGAATAGGTAATAGGGGTTCCATCACCTGCCAGCCTGGAGCGAAAATTAATGGCCGGGTCTTGGCATTTCACCTCAAATTCAACACCACACAATATAGTCAAAAGTAAACACGAAACACGGTCATAAAAAATAAGAAAAATCATAATCTAACTCTTTGTCTTTTAATATTGTTCAAGATAATTTTTATATGTTTATCATGATCATTTTATCATGTGTTTTACTTTAATCATTCAAGGAGGTCAAATGCTAAGACCCGGCAATTAATTTTCTCTTTTGACTGCCTGCTAAGGGGTCTCTAAATTTAACTTCGCAGGGCTGACGGTGTACAGGCATGACCCCAGCTTTGCCCCACATGGCTCCGAAGCTTATCGCAGCTGCCGACCAAACCTGAGGAGTCAGGGAGGGGCAGCTGCCTGACGCAACATGTCGCATTACCAACATTGAAACATTTACATAGACTCATTTCACGTGTTTTCATACCTACCCAAACTTCCCTTCTCCAGCCTTGCTCACGTTCCTCTCCATTCACGGGTTATTTTGTAATCTTAAAACTTTTCAACTTGGATTCGAAAAGGACTACTCTTATTCTTGTTCTATTAATTTATTTTACATCCACCAAACTACTCGTATACCTTATTCTAGGTACATACACACTTCTTAGCATTCGTGGATGTGTTGACGTTTAGACCGGGTCCCCTTATCCACAGCTCCGGTCCAACCTCGTGACCCTTACCTTACCGTACATTTATCCATATACCCTCTCTCTCGACCATCTGACCCCATTTCGAAGATCGAGTTTCTCCTTTAATCTAGTTATCCGTCTCGGGTAACCTAGAGACTCCCATCGGCCAAATGCCTAGGAGGACGCTGCGTATTCTCTGCTTCGGCAACTCGCTGACGTCTGGGTTCCCGGTGGGCAAGCCGTACGCAGAGAAACTTACTGAGAAGCTCGAGGAAGCGCTTCTAGGTCACGGTTATGGCGAGATTCAGTATGAGGTCGAAGGCGTACCGGGAGACTTGGTGACGCGGGGCTCGTTTCTCGATCGAATGCGGGATTCATGTGAGTTCTTCTACTTAAGACCGTCTTCTACGAAAGAAGTTCTCATTTTGCTATCTCATATATCAACCACTCTATTCATTCACACTCTATCCCTTTCCAAGAATAAAATCAAGTCAACCGACTAGCTAACTAAAACTGACTTATTCTATTAGGGAAAAACAGATCAGAATTTTATGATTGGACTATTGTATTAGGTGGAACGAAGTATGTTACCTTCCTCTAGCTCACCAACTTTCAAATTGTATAGTCGTCTTCATCGATATCCCTAGAAGGGAAATAATCTCAGCCATTCAAATGCCCGCCTGGAGCTCTCAAGCTAACCTTGGTTTTTACTCGTACATAGCGACCTTGGTTGGGGATGTCCGGTCGAGGATATCGTCGCCGGCTTGAAGCGGACCTGGGATATACCACTTCTGAAGGGTAGCAAGGTGCTCGCTTTGACGATACCAGACACTCGAGCCCGATATAAGGACGTTAAGGAACGACGGGATGAAGTAAATAACGCCATTAAGGAATACAGAAAGCCAAACTTGTAAGTGATACCGCTTTCCTATACTATCTTATACGAGAAGCGACACCTCCACATTATTATCGCCGGGAGAAAGGGGCTTCCTAGCTTCCACCGGTTCCCAAACCGACGTAAGGTGTCATATATTGACATTACATATGACAGCTTCTATTTTGACTTAAACAACGCCGTGCCGTACCACAATATGGAACCCTCAGATAGACCTAAGTACTGGCAGATGGACGGCGTGCACCTGACAGAAGCCGGCTACAACCTGATGGGAGAGAAAATCGCCGCAGAACTTATCAAGCTCATAAGACTTGCGGAAGCTCAAGACACGGATATTAGCAGCATCGTAACGGACGCGCGGCAGAGACAAGCCATCGAGGACATGATATACGAGGAAGAGAGAGGGAACCCGAGACTGCTTAGCCAAGGCTACATCGTCGTGCGGAAGACAGATCTAGACTAGATTAATACATTAAGAAGCTTTATCTTTATTTCATTCATTCATCCTAACGCTCTATTTCGTGGGGAAGGGATATTCTCGTTAGAACCTCCCCCGTACCATTTACAACGTGTCTGTCCCTGACGCCGTATCTATGCATTCAGTCATTCTCCGGCAACGCCATACTCGTAACCTAAAAATTCCCTCCAATGCTTCGTTTTCCTTTTCTTTTTTCTCCTCTCCCGTCTGCGATTTAGCATACCCTTTATACTTCTATCATACTACTAGATTCGCCGCGACAAATTCCGGGAACTCGCGTTGCAGTGCGTTCGTCACGTTTTCGACCTCTTCGGCTAGGCTCTGAACGTTGGCATCCCATCGGCGCATCTCCTTTCCTACGGTTACTTCGGCGCGGCCGCTACCCTTCTCGCCTGAAGCTTCGCCACGCTCGAACCAGATTATTCGTTCTATCTGGTCGATTCGGCCCACCAGGCGGCCCTGCTCTATCATCTTGGCGGTCGTGTCCTCGGCACGATCGGCTTCTAGTCCTAATAGCTCGCCTAGTGCGTCGATGCCGATATTGCTGTATAGTCGTGAGACGCCTAGTAGGTTGTGTTCTACAACGGCACGGGCCAGCACCGTCGATCCGTCTGCCGTGGTCGCTAACTGGTGAGGCGCAAGGCCTTCGGCGAACTTCTGCACCTCGCTCGCTGCTAGCAGTCGGTCGAAGAACATCTTCTCCAGCATGCTGAACTCGGGCAGATTGGGCGAGCGCTCGTCCTTGAATAGCCGGCCCAGAGCGCGGCTGCGCAGGGGACCTGCGGGGGCTAGGATGGCGCATTTCACGGCCATGCTGAGGGTGTGCAGACGCTCGTCTTCGGAAATAGCAGGCGATAGGCTGATTTCGTGGTAGGCCTGGCTGGCGGGTAGAAATTCGCGCTTGGAATCCTGGATGCGGGCCTGGGAGAGGCGGAAGTGCAGGTTGAGAGTCGGGTCGGTGACCTGGTAGATGACGTTCTTGAGCTTGTTGAGGTAGGTCTCGGCGGCGGTGGTATCGTCGACTTCGAGGTAGTTGCGCACGATGCGGACCCAGACGCGCACGCGGTCTTCGGGCGACACCCGGCGCTGGGAGCTGTCGAGGGGGATCTCGGAGAGGGCGCGGGCGGCGGCTACGTTATCCTCGTTGGCCTCGTAGCCGTCGGCGGCGAGCTCGAGGAGGGCGGCGACCTGGTCGGCGAAGGTGCCCGAGGTAGTTGCCGAGGTAGCAGTGGAGACGGAGGCGGAGGCCTGGCCGCTGGCGGCGGAGAGGGTCTCGAGGGCGTGGTTGGCGATGTCGACCCATAGGTCTGCGCTGTTGAATTTCCGCGCGGCGGCGACGAAGGAGCTGAGGAGGGAGCGCTGGGCGACGACGCCGAGCTGCGGGGAGGTCTGGCTGTTGCTGTTGGTGATGATGGCTTCTATGGTGGCCTTGAAGTCGTCTGATACGGTCTGCGGCGTCGATATGGATTGGAAGTTGGCGAGGAGGCTTTCGAAGGCTGTTGCTGGGTCTGGAGACGACTGCACCTGGGCTAGCGCCTCGGTGACTTTTGGGCTTGCCATGGTCGGTTGGGGGTGTTGATGTTTAGTTGGTAAGACGGGTAGGTTTGTTTAATCTTTTTAATCTGTGGAAATGTGAAAGACGAGGCTGGAAGTCGAAGGTGAAGGTGAAGTTGTGATTGCAAGCTGGAAGGTGGGGCTTGTAGTTGTTAGCTGCTGAAAGTGGGGAAGCTTGGGCTGTTGTTGGTGGGGTCGGGGGGTATAGCAGCCTTAGGTAGGTAGGTAGGTATTGTACAATACCTGAGGGGATATCTTGTATAGCTCTTTGTTGAATAAATCGTTTATTATTATAATAACCATATACGATGGTTCACTTTTTCCTAAGGAATGTTCTTGTCCTACACGGAATAGGTCAGTTATCACCTTTTTATATTTCATGTCGTATTGCATATTATGATACGTTTATTTCATCGTTATATTTATATAGTAGAGACGTAGCCTTTCTATTCTGCGTCTTTTAACACCTTATCTACGAATGTTAGAAATATACACTACCAGTAACTTCTATGTAGCTTTCTAAGAGGTTATCAGTCGTTATAGGGTTATTTGTTTCTCTGTATTCAGTATAGATCATATTACACAAGTGGTGAATTGTTTAACCTTCGAGATGTAATTATATGTAAGTCGCGGGTAGAAAGCCTATGCCTACCACCTCCATAACATGGTGAGAGCATTAAATGCCGAATATGAGACCAGCCCGCTGATATACTAAAAAGATAAGGGATTAAAACGAACTTAAGAAAGCCATATACTGTTGATCATAAATAAAGCAAGCAGTTATACTTGAGGCAGTAGACGCAGTGTGGTATGCGCTAGGGTTAAGAACTTCATTATGAGGACATCTAAAGTGAGGCTCTTTTTACTTGTACAGACATAAGCATCTAGAATGCCAATTTACCTTAATCTCGCATTTCGTCGTATTTGCCTCTATGAAACACAATAACCCGAGAATCTAATCCTAAGGAGATCTATTAGAACAATATCAGTTGAATCCCATCCTAAAAAGACGCTAATTTCGGTGTGATCAGACCCCGGCTTACATCGAGCTCTCTGATCTACGTAGCAGGGTATTACAGTAGCCGGCATTAATGACGAAACCGTAGACCACTCCTACCATATAAGTAATTTTCGGCTTGCCATATAGAACCAAGTCCTCAGATACGTAGTAGGTTGGCAAGGCACTCTACTGCATACCTGTTATAGCAAGTCAAGGTATATAGTTCCACTATTGTGGCTGCGTATTGACCACATGAGCTACTGCATGCTAACCATTCATCCGATGCATTAGCAACCTCGCGTACGAAGAAAGTTGAATTACCATTGGCTCAGAGTCCTAGTTGAGGGATTCAATCATCTTGAATATCGTACCTCCTTCTTGCTTGATATGCATTTCAGTGTCTTAGGCTCTCCCGTCGTTGTTCGACAAACAGCTATGTATATAGCTGGGTGTGCCAATCTAACCAACAAACTGGATTCAAGAACGCCACAACTAGTCCTACCTGTTAGTTGATGAGGGGATAATGATTAGATATTGTATGAGATTTCATTCGCCACGGCCCTGTAATTGTATTCGAAGGATATAGAACTTGGCTTGCGGCATGGTCGATCTTAGTACGCAAACGAGTTGTAAATGGATCTGTCATATTTTGACTACGTGAAATATTTATCTCGAGGCCAACCCGATCTGAGGCCCCTATCCGAGTTTCTTACAAGTCCTTGCCAACGGCCGGATGTTGAGGAAGTCGAGTGTCACATTGCAGGCCTAGAGTTTCGTGGCGATGGAACCACACGTTACTCTAGGATTGGCACCGACGAGCTTTCCGATACAGCTTTAGGATTCATAGCGAAAGATGCGTCCTCGAATGCCGTTGGACTTTGTCTTCTTGTCGAGGATATTGGGCCTAGTGTCATGGAGACCTTGGGTGGAATTCTGGATGTCGACCCTTATTTCTTCTGTGGGCATATTGAGAGGAGATTCGTAGATATCGAGAAAGACCCCCCATCATCTCTCATGACGTCTATTCCGTCTCGTATCAGCTCTCAGAACTTCGCCAACTTTCACTACCAACGACCAATCGATTTAGGAGAACTAGATGCGTACCCTAGTATCCCACACAATCTCCGTCTTCGCGGCAGCTCTACACGACCTCGTCGGGCTCTCCCAGAGCTATTTGGAAGATATATTGGACTTATTCGCTCATGCTTCTCTATATTGTATAAGAGACTTGACGGTGATCGATGGATATGTATGTGGTTAAGCCTACCTTATCTATATGCAAAACCCCTTAAGCTTCTTTCTTAACCTCTAGATATATCAGAGCTTCTCTAGAATCTCATTTTATTCGGCAATAGCTAATATTGGTTAGGTTTAATGTTGATGGACTCTATATCAACTGATGTTATAGGTTGTCTTTCGACAAAGGATAGCGCGCAAGAGGCTAGCTTCAGAACACGACAAGTCCCGTATCGGAATAGAAGAGGCAGCATCAGTGGGATGCCAAAATTCTCAGAATTCCGCAATACGCCGGGCTTTATAGACGTGCGGCCCATTTCTATGATGGACGAAGTCGCAAGACTATTAGAGGATTGCGCAAGCGCGTCAACGAGGCCACCGTCAACTTACAACCTATTCTTCTTATCGACTGGTCCGATTAGACTAATTATCGACGAGTGGCTAACATATTCGCTCATTATGGGCCGGTATATTAAAGTCTATGAATATTCGACACAGAGCGTGCAAGATCGTCTAACCAATTTCGAAAGCGAGGACGTCGTTGATCTATATCGGTGGCGGCGAAGGAGCCAACACAGCTTACACAAGCTTCAGGTTCTAAAGTGGTTCGTCGAATCATTGCTGAACCCCTCTAAGAGGCATCGTGATAGTTCCCTTCCTGTCGAAGAAGGGGAAGCTCTAACACGGGATATTAACTACATCATAGCCCAAATCGAGCAGAATGGAAATGCGCTTGAGACGATGATACCTATCATGGCGTCTATCATTCAACTTCTGGACTCGCGTAGATCAGTTGTCGAAGCGATATACGTCAAACGATTAACCTACATCGCCATCGTATTCCTTCCGCTTTCCTTCGTCGCAACTCTCTTCAGCATGAGCGATAATTTCTCGATCGCTGGTACTGGAGTCTGGATATATGTGGCAACTGCTGTGCCTCTTTTATTGCTAGTCTTGGTGGTCTCCGGCTTGCCTACTCAGGCGGCTTTGCGAAAGGCGAAATTACTTTGGCGAGGCGGCGCGAGGCTTGCCAGATCATATTAAAACTGGGTTGCAGATCACCACTATAATATAATTATTCTCTATATATCTTTATGTGCCATAATTGGATGAATCAGATGGTCTTTGAAGTGGAAGGAATCTGCTATGTTCGAAGCTGGGGGACGAAGCTAGGTTAAGGAATAATCCTAATATTAAGACATGGGCTACCTATGCTTTGGGTGTGCGATATCAAGTATATTCAGACTGGAATAATCAGCGGGAATGCTTGAAGCTAGAGGATACGAGGAACGTTATCACTACGACTTTTAAGAATTTCACTCTTTAATCAACAATAATCACAAGTTTACTCATTACTATTTTCACTTCATTCAATAAACGATCCGAACTTATTAAAGCCATACATGTCAATCGCAAGACTCAAGGGAATGCAGACATGAACGAACTCAGGGAATATGTAGAGATGTTAGTATAGTAGTCTTCATCGTCTTCAGAATATTACATGACCAGGACCACACCTCTATGGTTCCTGAGGTACTCAACTATGCGGAACAGATAACCAGCTTCTCGCATGGGCCTAACCCAATAGAAGGACTTCGGAAGCTACATTGATGTGGAAGGGTTTTGCTATAGGAAAATCAGTAACTGCTTTTTCGGTGTCGGCAATCCAAGGTTCACGACGTAGAAATGTAAGTACTCTAGTCATATCACATGGAGGCACCGACCCTGCTATACTGAACTACGACTTACCTGTCACCAGGTTGAGCACTTTTCTTTCAGTACGAACAAACTATCGTATCACGAGACTAATAATAATGGCAACTCTGCTCCGTGCATTTTCTAGAAGGTGGAAGAGAAGCCTGAAAAACGGGAAGATCATCTAGGAAGTCAAGCTCAGTTTCTTGACAAAACTTGGTGGCATCACATATTCCATGACTCCTCGTTCGCCCACGAAACACTTCGGCCACTCAGGCCTATCTCTTTACTTACAAGTATGCCTATCGACCTATCTTTTCATGCCGGGATCCGCGACTACTTCGTTTTGACAATGGAAGCGGGTTATTTTGAGCCAGTATGGGGGGAGACCGCTAGGGTATGAATAAACTGACCTCAATTACCTACCTAGAGGTCATCTCAGCAATTGATAAGCTCTACGTGGGGGAAACTGTTGATTTCCTATATTCTAACACCTAACTTTAAGGCGCTATTAAAACTTGTCACCTATGGATTTGAGGTTGCAAGAGAATATTGGTACGACTATGCATGTCTTAACCATCGTACATACGGAGGATCTAACGTGCAATCTATTAATTGCTCACATTTATAAATATCCCAATACGTTTTAGTTCATGAGAATGGTGCTTAATCTCACCCTCTGCCTTGTTCTTCTCGTCGACCTTTGTGGTTGTAGGGGAGACATCGCTAGGTATCTATTAAGGTTACCATACGCTGGAGGGACGATCGCTAGGTTCCTTTCTCTCATTCTATGCAACACGATCCCTAGCATATTGCATATTGTCTTGATCGTAGCGGTAAATATGTACGGCAGAGCATACGGAGAGAAGTTTTCCTTTTCGTGACCTGTCTACCTGACTTGGGCTATTATAGCCATCTAATACCTCTATGCAAACGTAATTTCGACCGTGTCTATCAGTAACTTATGTAAACAGCCATCACTAGAACCGCCTGGATACGATACGCTTATAATACTTCCTCTGCTGAAAAGAAAGCATCATCCAAAAGCCTCCTCCTCTTGCAACAGTACAAATATCATCAAACTAGCCCCTTCAACATCCACAACAGGATATCTAACTAGGTACCTATCTATCCGTCTCGTCGAATGCCCAACCCAGGACCCTCAATGCTGCAGCACAACCGGCTTCCCCTCCTCCCAATCCCTCACCGCATCCCTAATATTAACCCAATACCTCAACCTCGTAACCTCCCTCCTCGCCCTCTCCCCATCATCCTCCTCAAACGCCCTAGCAAGCCTATCCTCGCTCTCCCTAATCCGCGCCTCGTTCTCCGCCCTCAGCCCCTCCAAGTCCTCCTCCGCCTCCGCCTCCTCGATCGCCTCCCGCGTCTCCAGCACCAGCATCAGCAGCTCCGGGTCCTCCACCCGCGCCGCCTCCTCGCCCGCCGCGTCGATGCCCCACCGCAGCCGCAGCAGGTACTGCGCGCGCGAGAGCGGGTCCGCTAGCGTCCGGTACGCGTCGTTGATCCGCGACGAGGCTGCTTCCGCGCGCCGCTTCGACGACGCCCCCGGTGGTGCGAGGTCCGGGTGTGCGGTGGCCTGGAGAGCGAGGAATTCGCGGCGGAGGGCGCGCACGTCGATTGCGAAGCGGCCTTTTGGCGGGGGCCCTTGGGGCAGGGTCTGCGGGAAGAGGTCGTAGTGCGATATCGGCTTCTTTCCGTCTTCTTCTTGTTGTTCCGTGTTGGCTGGCTGGGTGGTTTCCTGTTCTGCTGATGCTTGTTGTTCGCGGGGCGAGGATGTCGCGCTGCTTGATAAGGGCCGTCTTGTCTGAAGACTTAGGCTGTTGCTATTGCCGATGTGTGTTTTGCATGGCGTTGGTCTTATCGTGGTGAGTTGGCGAGAAGAGAGAGCCCGATTGTTAATGGTTGTTGAAGTCGCATGGCGGCTCTGCTGCTGTCTGCAGGCGTCGCAGACACGCCGCAGCGGTCTTCGAGGCAGTAAAGAAGATCGCATTAGTACGGAGTAATTATTGCTAGTATTCTGACACGACCGAGGTAGCGCGTAACAATGTTTATATAGCATTAAGCTTAATTCTTAATGTTTATGTATTTCAAGAACTAAAGAGTTAAGATTTAGCTTTAGGGTGTGATTTGGAGAAAGAAGCTTAAAATCGGAACAATGACGTTTGCTGCGGGTTTCTTCGGCTATAATCCCGCAAGTTGAAATCTCGGCGCCGAACCACCGGTATATCCGGTGTTAACAACCGGGTATTTGTTACATAATCCAGTCAGACTTATAGGAATCAAGGCTATATTCACTCTCTTCCCAATGGCATAATATACATTATTTTCTTCCAACCGTAAAAACCACTTTCCAATTACTACGTAGATGGGGTATCATGTATAAGACATTAATATGGGAATCGTACCCAGTCTCCCCTTGTTTCCTCCGCATTCCGGATATATTTGAACATAAATTTCCTCCCGTTCCCCTTATATGGTATATATGTACGTAAATCAAAAAAAGTCATCATTACCCAAATCTTGGGCTGGGCCCATCCGCTTTCGCCCCCTCATCATAGTGTTACAAGACGCCAACGTCCGCGCTCCGTGTGAAACCAGCGTTCCCGTTCCTTCTTGTCAGCAATGTTTCCGTTATACGAGTTCCAGCGCCCGTTGCATCCCTCCCTGCCTTCGACTTTCAGATTCTCACCCTGGTCACCAAGCACGTCTGAAATGTCAACGAGCCCGCCGTTCTCGTCTGTCGCCCCCTCGTCTGGCATCACGCAGTACCATATCTTTGACTCTACTTGGCCAATGAAGCCAGCAAGGCCATATTTTTCAGTCACGGACCCATCCTCGTTTATTACGTTTACGAAAAAGCGAGGCGTCTGCCACGCTGCCTCTAACCTGCTCTGTGCCGCGATTCGAGACTGCGAGAGGTTGCTCGACATCTTGGATGGGAAAAGCTGGTCTTCCATTGGGAAACTAAGGCCTAACGGGGACTTGCTTGGCGTCTTTGGTGTGTTTGGCGTTGTTGGAGTTGCCGGAGGGCTAGGTCGCGATGTGCACTTGGTGATAAGACCGCGGAACTTATCGTTAGATGTCTCAATCTTCTCCATGGGCTTACAGAGCGACTGGAAAATTCCTTCAGGGTCGTTCGGCGCGCGTAAAGTCCGTAACAATGGAAAGCCGTTCGCTTCTATGCTCCTGGCAAGTATCGAGTCCGCCCTATTTGCGGATGATTGGTTGCTCGTAATATCCCAGTGCAGTTTGCGTAACGACGGCGACGCTAGATAGGGAAATAGCCATATCATCTCATTTGGCGGCATAATCGGCGGAGAACTCTGTACTAGCGAAAACGTCTCTAATACCGTAAGGTTCGAGAGAATCTGGCTGAGCGTCGGCAACGAGTCAACGTCCATATGTTGAAGAGTGAGCTTTTTAAGTGATCGAGTTGAGGGGCGCCTGATGAAAGAAGAAAGACCTTCGCTAGATACACCTGGAAGATGCGACAATGTGAGTGTCCGTAGTGGTGGCAATGAGAGTAAATTCGCATCATTAAAAGCTGTGAAAGGTAAGTGAGATAGATGAAGATTCTCAAGAGCCGGCAAGCGAGATAATATGTCAGGTATAAGAGACACCGGCGTAAGCGTCGCGCCCGGGAGGCAATGTATCGACAGAGTTTTCAAATGCTCCCAGTCCGCGTGAAGTTCTAAGAAGTCCTCGCTTAGCTGATGCGGTAAGTCTCCCGGAGCTTCTTTGTAATTTGGGTTCTCCGAATTTAATAGCGCCGCAGCATTCGAAAGACGGCGCTTCCTCTGAAATTGAGAGGGTTCGATGGTCCAATGCATCTCTACTAACTTGCGCCTAGTAGATAATGCGTGGAATAGGCGGTTGAACGAGTAGTCATGGTTCTGGTGAAATCCAACTAATCGTTCGAAGTTGGGACACGCCATGATGACAGAAGCCACTAAGTTCTGGTATAGGTCAAGAGGAACGCCTTGGGTCACAGCTGGAGCTTTCAGGCTATGAACCATTGCCGCCAGTTTGGGATTTGATCTTAATGTCCGCCGAAGTAGTACGAGACGAGAACCAAAATTTAGCTTGTATCGCTTCCTCTGCATTGGTGAATCTGCCCCGACTAGTTGGATATCCTCGTATCTTTGACTATCTGTTAGTTCTCCCTGTTCTGTTTAAGTCTCCGCTGTTGTAGAACTCACAGTGCGACCTGGGCGACTTTCAACAAGCCCCGCCCTGATATGGCGACAGAGCACAAATCTCTCATCATGCATGTTGCACAACTTGTACTACCAGGCTTCAGATGCAGCTTCTTTAGTTCGTCTAGAATAAGTCCTAGAACTTCTTCGGGGAGGGCAGCTAAGAGCTCCCCTGTTTCTCTCATCCGCCTGTATTGTTTAATTGGCGCCGGTCGCTGCCATCCGTACTCTACCCTTCGTGGACTCGAATTCCAAGACTCGACGCTCGTCCTGCTGCTTGCTGGACTCGCAAGAATAGAATCGAAAGTGTCGTTCGTTCTAATTGAGCTCGCAACACTAGACCCGCTACTTGAGGTCCTCCTAGAACGATTAGGCACAACAGGCCGCATGTCGATCTGCGCATAATTGCTCATCATTGCCGGCGGTAGCTTTATTGGTTGCTGGGTTTGCTGGGCTTGCTGAGCGTATGTTGGCCCCATAGCGTTGAAGTTTGGGCGGTCGGCCCTCGTTACCGATTCTTTTGCCGTGGGGTCTCGTATCGTAAAAGAATTAGAAGTAAATCCGGGGTCGCGAGAAGCATACGAAGAACCCATTGCGGAGCCGTCTAGCGGTGGTACGGGTCCCGACACGATATCGTCAGATCTTGACTGATATGCCACAGCAGATTCAGTTTGCGATCTCCGGTGTCTCGTAGTTCTAGAAGAGAGAATAGGTTTGTTAGTAGGAAAGAAAGGGACCCGACTAAGAAGAATAGACATTGAAAGACCAGAGGTGAAGATCGACAGGTTTCGATGGGTCTACAGAGATTAAAAGACCGGGTGTGTTCCTTGCATCAACTAAACTGGCGAACTTTTTGGTTGGGAGCTTGGACATAGTTGTAGCTCTAAATCCATAGCGTTTCCTGACTTGTTAACAACTGGTTAACGACTGCAACATAGTCTGGGCTTCCTGACCATATTTGGCTTAGATACTCTAGAAATAGTACGGAACCAGTTCAAATTCGTAATAGGCGGCCACACTCGGCTGTTGGTAGCGCGAGGCTACCGTTATGTAGCAAATCGCGGTGGAAATTAATTAACCCCTGACAGCATGGATGTGTTACCTTGGGAGGGCGGCATATCACCCCAGGAACACCAAAGCAGCCAAGGAACGCATGACGCCATTTGTTAAGTTACATAAAAAAGGGGGAATAGGTATGGCATGGAACATCCTCCTGGACTTTGGCACAAGATGGACCAGGAAACCCGACTTTGGGAATATATGAAGTTCAGTAAGAACGGATATTGTCTGGAGTCGAAAATTTGAAAAATTCGCATATGGCTTGGTAGCTGAGATGTGAGCTGATTCTCCTCGCTAGGTACATCCCAAGCCATTCAGGGACTTGCATGATGCATCAAATCGAATTAAAAAGTAGGTAGGCACTTACAGTGATCTAAAATTGGAGTTGGTGGCTTCGGTAGGGCGCTCTAGGCTTTGGCGGTCATCACCGTTGTCGACTAAGCGAATTGTCGGCGAGCTGAATGGCCTCCGATCACTTGTTTTAACCGGGAGTGAATTCCTTTTCTGAAGCTTTCGAACTATAGATCGCGGCTTAAAGAAGGAAACACGGGCAAATGCTGCATACCAGGATCGCCCTGAGTTTGACGACGTGGTAGTATCCATTACTGAAGGAGTGCCTGGCCAGGTTCAAATTCTTAATGCGTTACACTTCAAGCGCAGGGGTAATTTGGCCACCGAACTTCCCGTCGTGGTTACGCCTCGGGTACTCCTTCACGGGAAACCTGGGCTGGGTAGGTTTGCGAGATAAGTGTCAACGCATCTATATTCGCTAGTTATCCTTTTTCCTTCGTGGACGTTTTCGAGAGTTAGAAGTCTAATGCAAAAATGAAACACCTCCAAATGTCATAAATGACGCGAAGTCGCAAATAGACTGCAGTTAGCGAACCTCTTCAGTTTCGAAATCATATAAACTGCAAGTTAAATTGTCGGCCGAGTTAGATGAGGGGTCAAAGTCAGTCCAGGTCTGAGTATGTTTAGAACTAGCGATCGCGTATAATATTCGTATATAAGTAGAGGTAGGTATCTATTCAAATGGTATCGAACGGTAGAAAGTTCATGGTCACGGTCGTGCGGGCCTCGACGACTTTTCATATAAACCGCGACAAAGTCATCGGCAGGCGGCGAAGCATATATACACGTACGTAATATGTCAGCCGTCACTGCCGGCGACAGGATATCCAATAGACTGTAGCGGTTTCGCCAAGATGGCTGGAGCTGGTCAAGTTCTTCGGACCCGCAAGTCTCAGCGACGAACAATCGTGTTCTGCTCACCTTGAATGATAAAAAACCGCTCGAACCTGTAACAATCTAACCTAGTGGTCGTTTTGCCTAACCAACAACGGACACCGCTTCTTTGCGATCCAACTCCCCGATAACGCTAGGGCGGTCTTCAGGTTTTGAATAGTAGGTTCGGCGAGAACGGCTGAGAGGCTGAGCGAAGCGAAAAAGCCTTAGGGCAACACGCAAGTCTCCGTTAAACTTGCAGTTCGGTAGAAGACCCATATTTAAACTTCTAAATATGGTGTCTGCACGTGTAAATAGTTGGTAAGGATTGGTAAGGTCCAGGCAGTTGGGGCGGCTACTGTCAGTGTACGGAATAAATATCCAACGGATAGGGTTCGCCTCAGACCTTACGCCAGGGTTGACGCGTGGTTGATGCGTCTCATATGGAAAAAGTAGATCGCGGGGTCCTTTCGAATACGTATGGCCAAGGCTGATGAAGCAGACTAGCGCAGCAGGTAGATTCAGGTAGATTGAAGAGTGATGGTGAGTCGAGTCAGCTGGTAAACCAGGACGAATCGAACCCCCCGAGCTGTAGGACCTTCCCGCTTGGGATCAGCACGGCCCGTCTATCCAACGTTCCCCAGAATACCCAAACCATATTCTAGTGAGGGTCTGGTAAACGGGTCTGGTAAACGAATAATTGGGGTCCTGGTGGGCATATGGCCGTGGCTGAGGTAGCCTAACCAATCCGACAAAAAATAAGGACTCGATGCGGTGTAGCACTGATAGTCGTTGACATAGGTGGTATAAAGTTATGAAGCTCAAAATAAATACCCCGAAAATACATACAAGGGAAATTCTAATGTAAGACCTTCAATGTTTTCATACTATGTAGTAAGTTGATATTTTAGAGTCAATCGTAATCTGTAAAGTGGAAGACAAAGGGAGAATATGTGAGATTATCTAAGCGTACCCAAGTATCCAAGTACCCAAATCTGCATGTTTGACGGCTCGGTTACTTATCGATAAATAAATTGTGTCTTATTAATCCGTAACTACGAAGTACAGTTCAACTATTATTATCACCTCAGTTCTTTTTAGTTGAGCATGCTATTATGCCATTAAAACTACGAGGTAGAATTTACCATTCCGTAACGCTAAACCACATGATAAATAGCATCCCATTCATTATTTCCAATCACAGGTCCTTTTCTTGAAGCTCACCAGGCCTAATAATATGATCCCATTAGAGCACTTCTCAACCAAGGTCCTAGCTATAAAGTAGGCATATATCTAAACTGTGCAGATGTTATATCCACCCAGCCCTATCACATAACAACTTATAAGTTAGACAGTGATGCTGCAGAACACTGCCACTTCCACTAACCAACCTCTTACTGACACCATACAGTGCCTTCAGATCCGGCAATGCTCATAAGGACCCACTAGAATTGCATAAGTTGTTTGGCCTACTGAAGACTTCATAGTCCCACGTTTCCGACCATCCTAAATATAGCCAGAACGGACTTACACATATATATTCTGAGGCTATTTGTAAAAGAAATTATAATGAATTTGTTCCCGTTATGAACACTGCTATTTGATAAAACACAGCCCGATCTGCCTTTCTAGAACGCTATGAAACATACCAGCTGGATAATTAAATAGTTCACATCGGGAGTCTTGTTAGGTAAAAGTTAAGATATTTTCTCTAAAATATTCCTGAAAGCGGCATAGTTTCAAAGTTGGTAAATCACAAAAGTCCCGCCTGGCCCCTTATAACAATGATCGATAACTTTGACCTAATGCCGTAACTATCTAAACAAATAAACCACAACATATATATTTTCTTAACAATTGCTCACTTTTAGTTCCAGACTCTGAGGAGTAGGACAAGTTTCCTTTACGTTTTTTTGTTTACTATTACTTGCAAACATTCAAATCACAGTATTAATGGTCTGGGAACTGATACATCCCGATGTAAATTGCAAATCAAGTCGTTACCCCTATTACTAGCACTCTGCTACGGAGTGGCGAGGTCTTACTATATAGATTTCCCCATCTCTAAGCCTTGGTGTTAAATACTTGACATATCTTAAACAGAGTCGTAGTCAATGCTTACTTCGTCCGTGTAGTTTGTTTACTTGTTATTTTTTGATACTCTCTGCTCACTGGATTTACCACCCCTCCGTTTTCTTCCAAGTATTAGTAGCCCTCTTCTATTTCCTTAGTAGACATATTCGCCTGTTAGTTATGGGACGGTCAAGTAAAGCACGTTATAAGTGCTCATAGGCTATTATTATTAACTTATTAGTTATTTGTACTTATTTCTGTGCGTCTTTTTCGTAACTTACGTGACTTATAGCTACATTTTCGATGGAGAATATGAGAATACAAGCAAGAAGTGAGAATACAATTCTATTAAAGTACGAATTACAAGTCCATCTGAAAATGGGCTACTGATATGTTCAGGAGCCCTTTGTCTTGTGTGTCTTAACGGTCTAGGGATCTGGCAGAGAATACCAATGAAAGGCCCACGTATAACGGAAGACCTAGTACTCATGAGTAAGGTAGTGACTCAGTGTGAAGCTTCTCACAGCTTTGTGTTGTTCATTAAGAAGTTGATAATCATCTGTTAGCAAGTGGTCCACGTCACGTAACGATCATGAGTCAAGGTTATAGCATCAAGGGAAGAAACGAGGCCCTAAGGCTGGGTATATAAATAGGTAGGCTTCGTAGTCCTTTCGGGAATCAATAATGCATCTGCAATACAAGACCAGTTCCTCGCATCATCTGCTATCGTAGTTAGGTATGTATGCAAATATACAAAGAGGTTCACCCCTCACGTCAACAGTGCATCGTCAGCAGTACATCGTCAACTGTCCTCGGCGTCACAATACTTGGCAACAGTCGTGTTGCCGCCGGCGATGGTCACATGGGGGACCAGAAAATTTTAGGCCACGATGAAAATAAAAATTACCTGACCAGTGTGACTGCATCTTTTTTGAGAAAAACAACCCAACACCTCTCCAACCCACCAGGCCCTCGCACAACTCTCCCAAACCCATACTTCCTCGAGGTGCTCCCTGAGAAGTGGACATTCCACTACTAACTTATCAATTCATCCCTGTATTTCTTTCGTAAGTTTGCGCATACCTTCACAACTTGCCCATCTACGTTTTTGACCCTACATCACCATGTCACACAACTCCCAGGATGAAGCTCTTCGAACTCCTCGTGGCGGTGCTTCTGAGCCTCTGGGATCCTCTGGACCTCCTGGATCTCATGGTCATTCTGGTCCTCCTGGTCCTCCTGGTCTTTATGGTCCTTATGGTCCTTATGGTGCTTCTGGTGCTTCTGGTTCTTCTGGTCCTCGAGATCCTCCTGGACTTTCTGGACCTCGAGATCCTTCCACTTTTCGTGGAATCCCCGCCCCGAGACCCGGAATAGATCATCCTATCTTCTATTCCAGAGGCAACGCGGGTGTTTACGATGTTGCGTTTTACCCACGTAAGTTCGCTTTTCTTTAATAATCCATCCTAGCTACTTGCAACATCATCTATAGGTCCTCTAGCAAATTATCTTCGTGATTCTGTGAATATAACCTAACGCGACTGTGATATGTAGCAGCCCAGGAATCGTCCCAGCAGCCTGCAAGTCATGGAGATGCGGCCGCCACGTCTCCTCGACCTAACCATCCTTACGGATGCTGCTGTCAAGATTGTCGCAGCTACTACAATCCGAACAATTACTTCATCAGCGGCACTCATGACCCGGCTGGTCATACTGGTGCTCATCACCCTGACCCTAGTGGTGCCCATCACCCTGGCCCTGGCGGTGCAGCACCCCAGACCCACGGGACGGGTGTGTATACTCTAGATAGAGCCGGCCTTGAAGCTCTCAACCTCCAAGCCCAAAATTACATGCACCAGACAGCTACGAGCCAACACAACCTACGCGTTCCTCAGATGCAGTATCTACAGCCTCCTTTCCAACCAGGCCCCGCTCATGGTCAAGTTCCTGTCCAAGGCCAGCATCAAGGCCCTGCTCGACGTCTTCCCCCCCGAGTCGAGTTTAATGAGAGGGTAAGAAGTCTCTCTAGATAACGCTTACTGTTTAATTACGTGTGGCTAACGGGAGTTTGGTATCTAGGAACTCAAGGAGCTCCAGGCGTACCGAGAGCGCAAGGCACGCGAGGAGCGCGTTCGACGTTTCCGTGAGCAGAATGAGCGAGCGATCGGATTCAACGAATCCGACGATGAAGAATTCATCCCCAACATCAAAAACCCTTGAAGAATGAGAAGAATGACGAAGCAATTTGGACGGAATGGCAACGGCGAATCATGGAGGCTTACTCTGCATTAGTTGAGGATCGAGCATAGCATTCTGGCGTTGGTTTTGCTTATTGATAGCTGCATATTTCATTTGCATTAATGATCGGTTCGGAAAGTCTTGTTCTTAGTTCGAGCATAGTTGCGTGTCAAACCTTTCGGTACTTAATACGGTTCTAATATTTTCAGGAGGCCAAAGCCTCTCGTTGCAACTATATTAGCTCCCTTTCGATGACTCATAGTTAGCAATGTCTGTTTCCGAAGTTTCCTTTAGATCACTTTGCCCCTTGGAGGTCTGTGTACGATAGCCTAGTCCCGGAAAATTGTTGGGACCTTTTTCAACCATAATACATAACCATTGCTGATTGCAGAAAACGTTTTTGAACTTGTTTTCCTAACGATCTCTCGAGTGTCCTTGATACCGGTGTCCATCCTTTGATACCTAGTTCCATTCCCCCTTTAACGCCCCTATATCTACTAAGTTCTTGTGTCATCGAACAAAATGCACCCGCGGCGTGTTCTCCATTACCTAGCTATAGGACTACGATTTTCTAAAGCTGCAGCTGCAACATGCTCTTCAAATCTCCTAGTTGACGACTTCTCGCGGTTTTCTAATGGGAGAAACAACCTCGGACTAAAGGCAAGCGGTAAGAGTTCTTGACCGCCGAACTATGTAGCCTGTAGGCGCTTTAATTAATACTTATTAGATGATGGTTCTATGGCATCAATATCCTCTATTGGCCATTCAATTTCATTTACACCCCGGCCAATGTCCTACTTCTATGAAACCGTGCCCTGTGTCGACGCAGAGACATCCGGGTACAAGGCACTCGCATTTACTATAAAGGCCCCCACGGGCGCATCCCTCACGCTCGAGATGCAGACGAGAGAAAACTGTTCGATAGAGGCGCATAATAGCACATGGCGATATTTTATGAATTTTACCGGCGAACATGAGAGGATCGTGGCTCCTGTAAGCTCGTTCCTAGGAGCTAAGACGAGTGGCATCTCCGCGTTTAATTGGGCAACCTGGAAATCGCAGAGCACAGAATCCGTCTGGGAGCCTGGCGATGTAGAGCTGGTTTGCGGTGCGTGATCTTAGGAACTTATCGAACCTATATAATTGGAATATTCCTAAAGTCAGTCGAGGGTTCAGAGCTGTAGGTCTGTCAGGTTCCGGAGAGGGACTCATACAATATTCAAAGATAATACGACATGGCTTTCCAGAAGCACAGCAATGGGATATTTCTTACACAAATTATCAAAGCTAGGCAGTTTCTTCCACATCATATGTATGTTCATGGTCTCGTTGCATGAGTGCGGAGTTTAGGGGTGATTGCGACGGTGACGTTGTATATTCGAAGAGTGAGTCACATTAGCTATATGGATCAAATTTCATCTATTAATCTATCACCATCTTCTAGTATTTCATAATACGAATACAGCCGTGGGCAAATTATATATAAAATTCCAATAATGTTGCTTGGAAATATAATTACAACAAGTATTCTAGGCGTTCTTGTACACCGCTGCATCTTTATTTTTCATGAATGGCACCCCCATGCGCTACCTAGCTATCTTGAGAGCCCATATATTTGTATTCTTCGCCCTATTTACTATCCAATGGTACCTCTTTGCAAGTGATTTTAGCCTTGTAAAATATTAGGTATGACAAATTCCCCAAATTATCACGTCTGGTGGGTGATTAGTCGAAGATGCGTATGAAAGGCCATACGAATTTATTCCAGAAAGATGGCACAGCGAACCCTGGTGAACTAATATTGGTATTCAAAAAGAGTTGAATATCCACGATGCCTACTTGGATTATACTAAGTGGTATTGATATGTTGCTTTTATGGTCGTGAGCATATTCTACTGTCGTTTGTTAAATAAAGGGGCTCGTGCCTTCGCGTTGCCTACTAACCTAGTCCAATTGTCTCGGATGGCCTACCCTAAACACCTAAGAGGTATCCGTGCGAGTAGATTTTAATATTTTCTAATCTATGTATTTACAATTCGGGCTAGCTAAGCGTGGAGTTTCGTAATGCGTATAAATCGATAAGCGTAGCCCCTGAGTGCACCGCTTCATTCCGAAGGCTTTTGACCACGAGCCACGTAAATCTTATACCTCACATACCCACCCGACTCAGCATCCTCGCTTCTCTTCTTCACCATGTCCTCTAACTGATCGTTTGCCATTGCACCGGGTGCTCCCCGCTCAGCCATCATACGGGCCCATGAAAAGAACACCTCCGTAACGTTCGTCGTTAATATCTTCCTTGTCTCCGGAAGTCTGTCGGAAGCAGCTACGTCAGTCAAGACGGGGCTTAGGCCAGCATCCCGCATCTCGCGAGGGAGTGTGCACCATCCGTGCTCGAATCGCTCTCGTAGCGCATTGCTAAATATATAGTACAAGTTTAAAGTTATATCTAGATAAACCCATCCCCACAGAATGCTAGCTTTAACTATATATACAGGTTACAAGTTACCCCGTGGGGTAACGTAATAGTTCCAGTCCTACCCACTTCTTAGGCAAAGAAGGTATCCTTTATACAATAGCCTTAACCTAGAAGGTTTCAGTTATACTCAGGCGTGTCCCAATTAAATGTAAACACCGGCTTCACCGTCCACCTATCAGCCGTGAACACCAACCGCCCCTCCCCAACAAGCTTGAGCGGATCGACGTAGAGATCAACTGTGATACGACCGCTGTACAGCTCGGAAACTCGGAAGATAACATATATCGAATCTTCCGTGGAAAGCCTCTCCATCTAGAAGAATTAGGTACGCGATTTAGCCCATGAAATTGTTGGACTGGAGGAGGAGACTTACCTTGTGGTATTGGGCATCCGACATAAAGAAAGGGGTGTCTCGACCCCCTGGAGTAGTCTTCACTTCGATATAATATTTGGGCCGTGAGCCTCGCCATTCACTCGACAGAAGACCCTTGCTTATCAGAACTTCTGTTAGTTTATTATTATCGTCTTTGTACTCGATGTCAGACGTTTCGATTCCGGACCAGCTGCCCATATCCGCGTAATCCGGGTGCACTGTGACGTATTTCCGAATAGTGCTTGTCCAATTAGCCCGTGTAAACCCTCTGAGAGCCGGGTTCATCGAGGAGAGAAGCTCGTAGACCTAGGATATTGTTAGTACTATTCTTAGTTTGGCAAAGGTAATGGGAATACTTACGAAGAGTTCCCCCGCGGCTCCTACTTTCTTGTCACGCTCGAACCGGGACATACCCAATTGAGGATCAAATAGATCATCTTCGTTGAAGGTCGTACCATCGATGATATTACTGCCGGTCATGACGTCTAAGAGCACGGAAAGATCCAATGCTTCCGAGAGGAGTCGGCTTTTCCTAGCCTTACGTATCACTTGCGATAGAAGAGCACAATACTCTTGAGTTGCCTTTCTTTGTCTTTCTGCGACAGTCGTCATAAATGGATCTGGCGAAAGACCGGTCCGTGCGTACGAAGAGCGGTCTCTACCTGAGCTTGTTCTAGATGTAGAGTAATGTGTGTAATCTGTTGCTGGTGTCTCCGGATCCTCATACGCGGATTCACTGTCGAAAAGGGGCGTTACCGGCTCTGAGGGAGGCAGGCGTAGTATTCGGGGGGTAGAAGGTCCGACGACCGTGGGTGTAGAAGCAAGGGTAGGTGTACGTTGAATAACGAGGGCATCTTCTTGATCGTCCTGCTTTGGTATGGTAACTTCAATAATGCCCTTTTCAGTAAGATAATCGTCAACTTGTCGAGGCTTCATATTCAAGACGGCCTGGATGAATAACTCTTCACTAGAGTCAATATCCCTCTTGGAGTTTGTTCCTGGATCGGTCATCATCCACTTCGCTAAGCGACTAGGAACGATGGAGAGGTAAGATTTATCTCGCAAGTCTTCGTCACGCAGGACGTATATTTCTAAGCCATCTTTATCGTCGATATGGATCATGCCACGGTCGACATCTTGGCTCACAGTCTGTCCGTCTATAGTGAGCACCAGCTTTGTTGATATTTCCGGTGTCTTCCATGTGCGTGAATTGCGGAGCAGATCGTATAACGCTTGACCATCGCCGTCAATCCGAGGGCTCTTGAAATGAGTTGCGATGCTACGAAACCAATTTATTAGCGGAAATTCCTAGGTATAGTTTCGTAGAGTTGAGTCGACTTACCGAAGTAACCCATATGCCTTTCTCCTAATATCTTGGATTGGGTCTGATATCGGCGTTTTTAAGCCTGAATCCAAACCAGACGTCTCCTGGACCAGTCGTGATAAATACCTATCCTCGAGGCCCGCCCACTTTATCAGAGGCTTGAGTTTAACAACGTCGTTCACCGTGAAATCGAGAATTTTGACTTTGTCGTAGAAAGCATCGCCGAGTTTCTTGCGATCGATAATGCCAAAGCCCGTCTCCGCTGAATGCAAGGCTACGTTGCCACCAACATCCCTAACCGGCAGGATCCGACGTTCCAGTAACTTCTCGGGAGAAGTATTGAAGTCTTTAAGCTCGATTTGTGAGTTAAAAGTCCAAAGGAGATCTTTAACGCGCTCCGTAGTGGCCTCTTCCGGCTTCAGTTCCAACAGCTCGTTGTGGACAATGTCGGCGTCTAACACACGCACAGCGAGCTTTTCGACAAAAAAGCTCTCCATATCCCCGCCATAAACATTTCTCAAGTTTACCCTACCTCGAATTGGTGATGAGGCACACCATAGACACTGCGATGGCATATACCACTTTTGCGGGCCGACATCCGCAAAAATCAAAGCATCGTTTTCCAATGCGTTCCTATGCGTAATATGATCAGAACACTTAACATCTGTTTGGCGGGTACTCTAAACATCTAATATTACTTACCTCATCTCTTCCAATGGCCCACGAGGTAGTTTCATAGCACTTAATTCTGAGAATAATTCTCGAACTCTGTCAAGCAGCCTTGGGGGGTTCGACTCTTTGATATGCTTGAGCTCTCCCACAATATGACTCCATGAGCATTTTTTGACTTCCAGGGTTTCCTGGAGGAATGATTTAAAGTTAGAGAATCCCGGGACTGAATCCATGAATTGAGCATGGTATATAGCATCATATATGGGGAAAACCGGAAAGGCGGTCTCCATATTCATCGGCCCATTGAGTAGACATTTACTAGGCGCAGCCTTCATCGATTCACGTTGCTCCCAAGGAGGTATAAGCAAAGCTTCATGCAACTCGAAATAATCACTGGTTTACTAGTTAGTGTACCTGATATGAGCCAAGTTTAGCCTAGGAAATAACGCGTACGTACCGGATCCGAGCCTGTTTTTCTTTTTGTTTTTCTTTGGTTTCTGAGTCTAAGCATTCTGCATGAAGGCGCAAATATAGACGTAAAACGCGCGAAGTATCGACAAGCTCCTTGGTCGGAAATAAGTGCATCCAGACGTAAATTTTAAGATAAAACTCCAGATCGGGTCTAGAACTCACACCCAAATCATACAAGAAGTGCCATTGAGACACCGGGTCTGAATCATCGTTAATATCAATGAAAGGAAAGAACTCATCCTCTCGCATGAACTCGTCACGCCTTTTCAATAATACCGGTAAAGGTAAATATGTTGACGCCAGGGAATATAGCCGACCGCCTTGGCATGGGACTTCCAGAGCTCCCAGGAGTTCTGTCAGTTCGGGCGTCACACGGGACTTTTCTAGATCCCAACTTTGTTTCAAGAGATTCAGAATCTCTGAAGGAAGGTACTCCTCGACGAACATGCATTCGCTTGAAAGTGCGCCCCCGTCACGATCAAATAGTCTTGAGTAGTTGCGAACTCCAAGGCATGTTTCGAGCCATTCTCTCCACGTCACATCATGTTGACTTGATTTTCCTGGGTCGTCTTCGAAATATTTTCTATTTATGAAATGAACATCAGTCCACTCTGGAGACTTGTCGGCCTTGGAGATTAGTTCCCAGAATCCCTTGTCCGAGTAAGACACATGCGATTTCAATGGATATATAGATCCGCGATCATCCCATAGCCACAAATTCTCGTACTTCTGGGACGAATCGGGCGTGGAATTTTGGTTATGCGTTAGATAGAGGAACTTGAGATGAGCGAGTGAAGATTCGTAGTTTATCCCTGTAACCCCCGTACTGTGATATCTTTGAAAGACTTTGTCACGAACATTGTCCACTAAGGCATACTTCGCACCGAGATGAAGGAACAACTGTCTCCTTTCAGGTATTGCTGTTGCGACGGGGTCTATGAGGTGAAACCCAAGATCCGCTGGGATTGCGTGTCCATTCGATGTAGTTGCAAAATACACATCAACTGGGGTTGGACTAACCCATGTCCCATCGACCAGCGGGATCAGCTGCAACGTTTTAGTTCTGACCATCATGTCCTGCCATTTCCTTTCGTAGGATAGACTTATAGATCGGGCTGCACGAGCGTGCCAATCAGAATCAGTCCCCGTAGACCTCATCTTGGACGTATTACTAGACAAATCTCTCGATACTCTTTCGAGTACCTCATCCTGATACATCAAGCTGAGTCCATATTTTTGGAGGATATCGAGGTCGCTCGATTTGTAATTAGATGAAATATAACGGGCTTTATCACCGGGGAGGTCGTCAAATAAGGGGTCTCCGTGTTGATCAAGGATATTCGATGCGGGTTGTCTCGCTACCGATAAGTCTCTCTGCATCGTTGAATCTCGCAATATTATGATCTCTTCACGGTAAATACGAGCTTTGATCTTATCAACAAGCTTCAACCAGAATGGATCCCATGGATAGTCTGACAACTTTGGAAGGAAACGCATCCACTGGTACTTCAAGGTCGCGTGAAGGCAAAGCGATCTCATCGCAATTATGAAAGTCTCTGCCAGTGAATCTAATAGCATAATATTTCGGGATGAGGTTGTCACAATATCTTCTCGGTTCGCTTGGGTTACGAAATCGCTGTGGATCAGGAACTAGCCAACTCATTAGTATTGGATTTATTTGGCACATATCAAGTTCTTAGGATATTTCTTACATGGAATCCCGCTCGGCGGATTGGAAGAAATGCGAAGACTTCCTGTTGTTCGATGGATGGTTCATCATCATGTGAAAGAGGAAATGCAAGGACGACCGGAGCAGTGCTGTATGCTCTCGATGCTTCTTCCTGAGGAGAATACGTTCTGTTCTCATTATGAGGAAGATTACGTGCAATATACTCCACGATGTGGTATCTCTGTTTTGTACGAGTCGTATTTCTGTCTTGGGTATGAACTTTGTCGAGTATGCGATTGCCGACTTGATTGGCGTGATTTATTTCAAGTAAAGAGGATGATATCTCGGTCCCAGCGTCGTCGTATATGTGCACCTTGATTTGATTCAGCTTCTTTAGGAAAAGAAGCATCGTAGGTTGAAGCTCGTTCAACTGAGTTAGGATATTTTGCCGTCGCGCATCTTCGGTGCCTGGGACATCGTTGGCATGTAAAAATAATGTGATTCTGGTCAATGGCGTTGGTATCGCTTCTGTCGGTTCGCGCCATTCTGGAGATATCATTCCCATACCAGAGTCACCTTTTCGGTGGGTAAATGTGAATGAATAGTCTCCAGATTGAATGTGAACTTTCCATGCTGCCTTGAAGACTGATTTGAAACCGATGCCTTTCTCGCCGATGTATCCTTGAGCCCCTGTCTTCGAACTCGCTCCGATCTTACATATCGCTCTAAGATTTGCTTCAGTGAAGCCATCTTCGTTGCATTCCACAACAACTCGATCCTTATATACATCGAAAGACACGTATGGAACGACGCCCAAAGATTCCGCTCGGGAGAAGCAGTTATCCTCGGCGTTTTGCAAGAGCTCGAAGATCCATCTAACGTCCTTAGTATAGAGGTTCTTTGCCAGTCTAATATAACGTCATGTCAGTAATTATCTCTTCGTATTTCCGGTGGCAAGGAAGTCGTACGTTATGACGCTTGTTCCTACTAGTGTGTGCGCCATGAGGAGTGCTTCTTGAACTTGGCGACGAGTGTCTGGGGTCATAGTTGCATAGACTTCCTCGCCGAGGTAGCCATGCTGCTTGGAAATGCTTGTCACGAGCCGGCGTGCTGCTTCTTTCCCGGAGGTACCAGAACTTGCCATCTTCAAGACGGCTGGGGACGTATTTCGTATAATTGAATGATTTATCTTAATAAATCTGTACTAGTTCTGGCAGTAGATATTCTACCGTATGACTGATAAACAGAAAGTAATATAAAAAAAGTTGTAGCAGGTCGAATCGAAAGAGTGTAGCACAATATAGTCAAGTGCCTAATACAACAAGGGATGCAATGAATCTTTATACAGGCTATGGTCGGATGCATTGCCGGATAACTTGTCTTCGGCCCGGGAAGCTTACGCGCAATTCTCGGGATCGTGCCCGTGGTTTCGTCGGTACTTGAAGCGCGCGCTTACACGAAGACCTCTCGGAACCCTACCACGACAAGACCTAATTAGGCTTTACTATGGCGCGCATGCAACATGAATGCGACCATTGTAGTAATTTTAGCATGAGGCATTCTATTGATATTAGTGCTATCTTTCGCTACGCATCTGGAGAGTGGTGTGCTTTACTTGAGGAATCTGGTAAAACTAAAAATACCTACATACCAAGTTTTAAGGGATTATAAAATCTTATTATGATCCTTATAAAATTCTTAAAAGGGTATATCTTTCATGGGAAGTTGTAAATCTTTAAAATATGTAGAAAGAAGAAGCCCTCCTATTTGGAGATATCTCAGCTCAATCCTTGGTGCAAAGAGGCAAAAGCCAGCACTAATAGCAGATATATTCCTGAGGCTATGGTCGCATTGCGCTGACCCGGTTGGATTGCGTAGCATATTACGGTCACATTCGACCTATGCAGTTGGGTTTCAAGCCCGATGAAGACAACCAACAACATCTTGAACACAGCCTCAAATTGGAATGAACCTACTATGTAGGTTAGAATCTGGGGTTAGCTGGCTCCACTAGCACGACTTTGTAGCCGCTCACCCCTTGGCTTGCTTGCTGTTCATTCATGATTTGTCTCTTCGTTGCTTAATGTGCCCAAGATGATTTTCGCGATACCAACAAAAGCGTATGAATGGTAATTTAAGAATTGAGATTTTAGATGTGCATTTTAATTGAAGAAATGGCCTGGGCAATGCTTAGTAAGATATTGTAAGCTCTATTTTCGTACTCAAGTAAATCCAATGAGTTAAGGCTTAACAACAACTTTCAGATGAAAAGTACCTGATGTAGATAACTTCGCATATGTTGAAGCAGTACAAGTCTCTAGCATGAGACAGGGTAGCGCGGTGCTAAGTGGGGGCGTTTAACCCAGTATAGCTAATAGGTAACTTTGCATACGAATTTATATATAATAGTACAAAATGTCAATGGAGATAGTTAACAACTGAATAACTACCTACATAGTAGTCATTCAGTTATCATTTCCATTAACGTTTTGTACTCTTATATATAAATTTGTATGCAAAGTTACCTATTAGCTATACTGGGTTAAACGCCCCCACTTAGCACCGCGCTACCCTGTCTCATGCTAGAGACTTATAGTATATAATTGTTCAAATGATTGAAATAATTATTCAGGAATTTCGCGGAATAAAACATAAGATAGAAGTAGCTAGTTACCTACTTACCTAGGTTAGTTATTAGGAACTTGCACATTAACACCTACAGTCGGTTCTTAAAAATGAATAGTTACTACCGTGGCGTGCAAAGAATCATATACATTATATGCCACTTTATGTATTATGAAATACAAATATCTAAGTCTTAAGAAAGGGAAATGTAATTCAGGAAAATGAATTATAATTACAAGCATTGGAAGACTGTTAAGTTATATGTAGAACAAAGATGAGAAATACATTCCCAATGGTTAGAGGTACCTACCTCCTATCGATAAGATCTCCAGGTTTCTCCAGCCTCTTAACCCCAACCATACTGCCATACCAGCATACGCGCACACCGCCCCAGCCCCAATCAGCCCCAACCCAACCCCCACTTTCCGTCTTCAGCGTCCGTCTTCTGTCCCGCCTCTCCCAAACATTCGCAGCTCTCAGGCCGAAATTTCGAGAACAGAACTTAACTCGCCTATATACTACCTGGATCTTCACCTTCACCTGCAACACTAAGGAGACTTCTTTCTTCCCTCCCTTCCGCTTGGCCATACATACCTAACGTACCACTCTCCTCATTAATTTCTTCACTCGAGATCAAGAACAAGTAGTTAACGCAATTCGAGGGACTCAACTGACTGGCTGACCCCTCAGTTGAATTCTTTAACAAACCAAACCAACCATGGTACGAACTGATTGATCTGATATAATCCAACATCATACTTCCCCTATTTTCATTCCATCCTATCCTACCCTCCCTTTTCCCCATACAAATCACATACTCCTTAGCAAGCCGTATACACACATGCAATGCAAATAATCATAATACTAACCCGCCCCGCCCACCCCAACAGGCGACGACAACAAAACAACGCCTGGCCCTCGCCATCTGCGACTTCCTATCCACCTCCCTAACCGACGGCACCCTATCGTCCGAGGACAAAGACAGCATCGACGTCGCAATCAACTGCATCGCCGAATCCTTCAAGGTCGACCCCACCGACCCCGCCGCCCTCTCCGCCGCCACCGGCACCCAGAACCTTCTACAGATCTACGGCGTCTACGAGAAGCTCAAGTCCTCCACCACCACCACCGCCTCCGCCAAACCCGCCTCCTCGAGTACCGCCGACGCCTCCTCCGAGAAGACGAAGGAACCCACCGATGACGAGAAGGCTCGCGCCGAGGACCTCAAGGCCCGCGGCAACCGCGCCATGGCCTCCAAGGACTACCCCGCCGCCATCGACCTGTACACCCAGGCCCTAGCCCTCCACCCCCGCAACGCCATCTACCTATCCAACCGCGCCGCCGCCTACAGCGCCGCGCGCGACCACGCCAGCGCCCGCGCCGACGCCGAAGCAGCCGTCGCCATCGACCCCAAGTACACCAAAGCCTGGTCGCGACTCGGCCTAGCCCGCTTCGCCCTCGGCGACGCCAAGGGTTCCATGGAAGCCTACCGACAAGGGATCGAGCACGAAGGCAACGGCGGCAGCGACGCCATGAAGAAAGGCTTCGAGACCGCGAAGCGACGCGTCGACGAGCTGGAAGCCGAGACCGCAGACGCGGCACCGACGGCACGTGGCGGTGGCGGCGGTGGTGTTCCTGATCTAGGCAGCCTAGCGAGCCTCTTCGGCGGCGGAGGCGGCGGTGGAAACCGCGACGGAGCTAGCGGTGGTGGCGGGGGTGGTCTCCCGGATCTCGGCAGCATCATGAGCAACCCCATGTTTGCGAGCATGGCGCAGAACCTGATGTCGAACCCGGACATGATGCAGAACCTGATGAGCAACCCGCGCCTACGCGAGATGGCCGACCGTTTCTCTAGCGGCGGTGGCATGCCCGACCTAGGCTCTCTGATGAACGACCCTAACATCGCCGACATGGCGAGGAATATGATGGGCGGCGGCGGCGGCGCTGGCGCTGATGATGGGAACAGCCCTGGAGCCGGGCGTGGCGCCGGTCGATGATCGACTTTGATCCGAGGTAGATCCTGTCAAATTCATCTTTAGCGGAGTTCCATGTATAGGGTTTTCCGGGCGAGAGGGTACGAAGAACGCAGCGTAGCGCTATGAGAGAAAAGAAAAATACCACAGTTGGTTGGGACGGAGGGTACCTAATGAAATTATAACCAGTCTCGGTTCCTATATTAGTCTGTGTTGACCTTTGGTCTTTTGGTGAATCAATGGATGAGGGCGATGATGGACGGCCGGGTTTAACCTACGTTACGTAGACCACGAGTAGACTTTACTTACAACGGATGAGCGCTCACGGTAATGATAGAAGGCGAAAAAAAGGAGAATATAAGGGTTTAACTATTTATAATCCATCGCGTCTACTAACTGAGGTCCTAATGGTACATTGGGAACCGTGTGCTGATAATGAGATAAATCTCGGAGAGAGGTAGTAGAAAAGGGGGAAAATAAATCAGTGCTAGTCTAGGTTTTTCCACCGTACACCTCGACTCCGTACCATGCTATACTGTCCCTTCGTTTGTTCCTCTAAACAACAGCATGACCAGTCCCGAAACACATAGCTTTTCTGGGGGTTTTTGGTTTTTTTAGTCCTCGAATGCCACCGTCCGAGAAATCAAGAAAATATCAAATATCATGCCCATTTTTTGTTTTTCGCCCCTTTTTCGCCCTCCGCCATCCGTATTCCTGCGATCAACCAATAAGTACCTAAGGTATTTTATAAATCAGAGCCGAATAACAAGCAATATAAAGCGTCCGTAATTAACTTTCTGCATTCTTTTGTCTCCGACGCGAAATGCGTTTTCCGTAAGAATACATACAATAGGAATGGTAAAAATGCGAACGAGAAAATGAAATGCATATTCGTAGGCAAAGGGAGACCAAAATAGAGGTGATGCGTCATTGAAAAGCACCGTTAGCAATGCCAATTTACTTTGCGCGAGATGTAGAGATTCCACGCTTTTGCAAGGGTCCTGCACCATCCTTGTGGCCAGTCCTGGGGCTAGGTGGACCTCGTCTTTGACCCCTTCTAGCGCGGTAGCGACCGCGGGTTCGGCCGCGGTAACCGCCCCTACCCCTACTAGGACCTGGTAAGGGTTGTTTGGCTTCGGGAGATGGTGAGTGTTCGTGTTGTTCCTGTGGGAGCTTGCTCTCCTTTCGAGAAGGTTTTGTAGGTGTGGGCACAGGTTGGCTAACAGAACGAGTCGGGCTGTCTGAAAAACAAAGTGGTGGTGGCTCAGAACAAGACACGGATTGTAGGGTGTTCCGACGAGGCTTGGAGTCGGGAGCGTCGAACACTGTTGACTGCGCGGCAGACTCGGGAGGTATGACAGGTGAAACGGCATCATCATTTTTACTCGGGGGAATCGCATCGTGAGCTCTTATCGCAGTAGATACAGAAGCAGACTCGGAATCAGCTGGTGGCAGATTATCAGAGGAACCAGCTTCCTCTTCGACGTCTTCGGCCCAGCTATTTCGCATAGGAGATGTATTATTTAAATTTGGCTCGGCTGTAGAACGGGGTGTAAACTCCGGCGCACCAGGATTCAGCCTTGAACCCTGTTAGAGGTTAGTATCAATCAAAAAATCATGAAAGATTTTTCGACGGATCTACCTCTTTTTGATGCCCATTTGGAGTATTCACAACCTTCCCGTTCGCCTTTCCTGCGATAGGAGAGTTCTCAGCCGTCGATATAGGTCGCGGTGCCTGGGTACCGTTTGAGGTGCTGACACCATTTTCTGGTTCGTCGACCGATCCATCCGTCTGTATGGCACTTGATGTTGCCGCACTATCATCAAGGAGCTCTCCATTTTGCTTATCATCCTTTGATTCCTTGGGCTTGAGAAAAATTTGTTTGGACCAAAGTTCGGCGTATTTGCCATTCTTGGAAATCAACTCTTCATGATTCCCCTGTTCAGCTATCTCCCCATTCGCAACGACGAAGATAGTATCGGCATTCATAACAGTTGAAAGACGGTGTCTATATTAAAATCAGTATAACATCGCAGTATCCAGCGGTTAATTATTAACGTACGCTACAATGAATGTGGTGCGGCCTTGACATAGGGTACGAAGACCGTCCTGGATTTTCTGTTCTGTATCTGTATCGACAGAACTAGTCGCTTCGTCGAGGAGCACAATCTCGGGCTCCTTAAGGATAGCCCGTGCGATCGCAATTCGCTGCAGTTCACCACCGGATAATTTCCTAAGTTCGTTAGCCAACAGAACCAATATATCTCGGTTAGATTGCAACTCACACGCCACGCTCGCCGACGCGAGTCTTGTACCCCTCCGTGAAACCCATTATATGGTCATGAATTGCCGCTGCTTTACAAGCGCTATAGACATCTTCATCCGTAGCTGATAGCCGGGCATATCTGATATTATTGACCACGGTGTCGTCGAAAAGAATTGGTGATTGCGGGACAATACCAATAGATTGTCGTAGACTACGTACGAGGCAACGTTAGTGGAGGCAAATCAAGAGATGGGAGGGCATGAAGTGTAATCCACCCCGGAAGACACCCATTTGGTATTTGAAAAAAGTAGACATGGGCCATACCTTGAAATCGTTACGTCGCGAATATCCTGGCCATCGATTTGGATCGAGCCACCTGTCACGTCATAAAAGCGATCAAGGAGCTTCAGGATCGTTGATTTCCCAGCCCCCGTTGCGCCAACGAATGCCACCGTAGTACCAGATGGAACAGACACTTTCACGCTCTTCAAGATGTCCTTCTTCTTGTCGTAGCTGAAACTGACATTCCGGAACTCGACTTTACCACCCTTGAGCTTCAGGGGTTTGGCATCGGGCTTCTCGATAACGGTTGGCTTCGTCGTCATTACGTCAAGAAGCCTTTCGGCATGCACCAGATCCTGGCTGATGTTCTTTCCGAGCTGAGAGAAAAATCGTAGAGGTGACGTGAGCTGGCCCCAGTACGTCAAAAGCATGACAAAATCACCAGCAGTAGCCTGGCCATTAGTAATTTGGTATACGGCTAAGAACGCCCCAGCGAGCAATCCCGCGAGAAGGATTAAATACTGAAAGGCGTGCCCAACAAAGTAGCTATAGTACAGGGACTTCGTCGATGAGACACGAGAGTTAACTGCCACGCCGTATCGTCTCTCTTCGTATGGGATTTGGTTGAAGGCACTGACGGTCTGCCAACCTTGAATACCAGCCTGACGGATATAATGCTCCTCAAAGTACCTAAAAGAAAAGTAATCAGAATCCAGTCCATCAAGATCTAATTTTCTAGAAAGGCGGAAGACATCCAACAAAAATCGGAAGTGAAAGTCCCGTCCAAGCTACTATAACACAGGAATGGGGTCACTTACGTCCTAACCATCATCTTTCTTTTCTCCTTAAAGCTTGAAATGATACGAGTGGCAGCTTGGATGAACGCCGTGCCAGTTGCAATAGTGATAAATCCTTCGTACGGCCCAAATTTCGTCGATAGGTATGTGAATGCAATGACTAAGTCGATTAGCATTGGCAATGCCTGGAAACATATCGAGTCCAGCATATTCGAAATAGAAGTCCCATTCGAAATAGCTAAGATAAGATCCGATGAACTCTTAGAATCATGGAACTCAGAAGAAAGATTCATAATGTGAGAATACGCAGCGGTTGTGAGGGCTTCCCCAGAGTAGTGCTCAATAGGTAACCATAGCATCTGCCTCAAGAAGTTAATTCCAGCCTCCGAGGCTAAAAGGCGAAGACCGGCAAAGATCGCGACTTGAACCCAAGGATTACTCTCAGAAACACCGCTTAAGGAATCCATAACGGCGCCATACTGCCGAGGAATTAGGAAATTGAGCACATTTCCAGCCAACAGGCACAGGCCCACGAGAGCAGCGTAGATTTGCAGGCGACGATTCTTGACAGGCCAGATGTACGGAAAGAAGATGAGAAATCCCTTGGCGTACGCAATCCAGCTGCCCTCGTTCTTCAACCGCTTCTCAATCTTTTCTCGAGAAATACGCTGCTGACGTTCCCATGGCGATTCGACATCTCTGGGCGAGTTAGCCGTCTCCGTGTTAGTTGCGTCAGTATTTGTACCCTCCGAGTTTGTTCCATAGCCGCTATCCGCCGAGGTGTCGACACCATTTCCTCGCTGGCCTGGCTTTGGGAGTAGAGGGGCTCGCTCTTCGTCATCGTCATCGTCGATTCCGTCTTCTCGCCAAACGAAATAAGCCAAAAGAGCGCCTAATGCAAGAATGCAGCGAGCGATGACGATGGAGGCGTCCAGTCGGATGAAAGCTGCTGAGTTGTCACCAGTTGTTGGGGTCGTCACTATCGGCTCAGAGGCCGCGATGAATAGGAGCGCAGCGTTGAAAGGCTCCAATACAAACGCGATAAGCCACGATCCGTAAAAGGGATACCATACGGTATCGGACCCGTCGCCGAGACTATTCTGCTCGATTCCAAAGATCAGGATGCAGGATAGCAAGCCGATAACTGTGTCCTGGGATGGCCATCGACCCCACAAAGCAATCTCAATTACCTTTAAGATAAACTGAGCGACGAAGGTACATAGAAAGCAACAAAGAAGGCAATATATAGCCTTGCGTCGAACGTGAGCCGACTTCTTCGAGTCCGAGGTCTGCAATGTGCAGATCGCAATGGCTGAGGTGACGGCAAAGTATAGGAACACCACAAGGGGGTAGACATAATGCAGCGTAACCTGCACACCCTGCAGCTCCAGTCCCATCATTCTCTCGGCCGCTACCTGATCGAACGGTTCAAGCCCAAAGTGCGTAAAGCTCCGAGAATACCTGAATGGGCTGAGGAGTGTTCAGTGTAGATCAGCAGCGAAGAGGCGGTGAAAAGATGGGCAGATCCTGGATACTAGATGGTCAGTTCCAAGTCTTTCGAGTTATTTAAATAGGTAATGGGAGAAGATATGAGAAGTAGAAGCATCAGTAGCAAGTTCAACGGATTTGCGAAGGTTGCATTGATTGCTACTGTCCGAACAATGGGGACTGTGTGTAA